GCGCGGCTGTTTCTTGGCCTCCCCCTGCCCTGACTTAGGCCTGCTCCTTTAAGGGGCGTGGAGGTTGGTTCATCCTTGATCTCCCTCCCCAGGAAGTTCAGCCAGAATACGGTGGCCCAGCTGTGGTACTTTGTGAAGTGCATCTACTTTGGCCTCTCTGCCTACCAGATTCGCTGCGGTTACCCCACTCGCATCTTGGGGAATTTCCTCACCAAGAAATACAACCACCTGAATCTCTTCCTCTTCCAAGGGTAACAGCTGAGCCCCCAGCAAAATAGGGGAGGGGGCTGCTGGGAGAAGTAGAGCCTCGTATGGAGTCCTTTAAGCAGAGGCTGACAGCAGGACCTTTTGGGGGGAAACTAGAACGTTTTGCAGCAAGGTAGAACATGCAGACCTTTCTTTGGGTGGGCAGCTGAGAACATGGATTCCACCACTTCCTGTGCCTCCATGTGTCTCTACACCTGGTACCCCATTTCCTTACCATGCATCGTGGTAAGCACCATGCACCATGATGGTCAGGGGGAAATGGTGACATGGATTTCCGCAGAATTGTCTAGGGTCAACCAGAATCCACCCCTGGAGGTTCTGAAGGTGGATCTCGTGGCTCCACAGGTTTCGCCTGGTGCCTTTCCTGGTGGAGCTGCGAGCTGTCATGGACTGGGTCTGGACGGACACCACCCTGTCCCTCTCCGACTGGATGTGTGTGGAGGATATCTATGCCAACATCTTCATCATCAAGTGCAATCGTGAGATGGAGAAGGTGGGCCTCCATGGAAGGGGAGGAAGCCTGGTGGAGCTGAGTCCCCAAGAGTCTCTCCCCAGCACAATTCCCATAGCCCTAGTGAGCATGGTGGCCTTCAGTAGGATGATAGTCATAAGTGGAATATTCCTCCAGTGGGATTTTCCAATGTATTGTACCAGGAAACATAGATAGGGCAGCCTAGAAAAGTAAGTGCCCTCTCAAGCATGCCCAAGTATTCCGGGTTTGTTGGTGATGTCCATTTTGCTCTCCGAGTTCATGGTGGCGTAACCGTAACCGTAACACAACTTAAAGGGAGGCTTTCTGCAGAAGACCTCGGGTGCCAGAACTGACCCCCTCCCTCCCCCCCGCAGAAATACCCACAACCCAAGGGTCAGAAAAAGAAGAAGATTGTCAAATACGGCATGGGAGGCCTCATCATCCTCTTCCTCATCTGCATCATCTGGTTCCCGCTGCTCTTCATGTCCCTCGTGCGCTCTGTGGTGGGGGTGGTCAATCACCCCATCGATGTCACAGTTACCCTCAAGTTGGGGGGCTACGAGGTAAGAGGAACTGCCTTGCAGAGAAGCAAAACAACAGGCCACCCAATTTGCCGGACTACAACTCTCAGCATCCGTCTTGATTAGCCACGCTGGCCGGACGTTGTAGCCTGGCCATGGCCCGTGTCGGTTTTAAGGGACAGACGGGCTTCGCTATTATAGCAGTTGCAGCCCAAGTGCCTTGCCAGCCCCTGGCACTCAAAGAGACCCATCGATCGGGCAGCTCTAGACACCCCCAGTCCCTCTGCATCTTGGGGGCTTCTCTCTGTCGATGGTTTCCCTGTGGCAGCTACCAGCGCCAGGCTGTTGAAATGGATGGATGTCCCTGAAACTGTGGCTCCCCTCCCTCCCCTTGTTTCTTCTTCAGCCTCTCTTCACCATGAGTGCCCAGCAGCAGTCCATCCAGCATTTTACCCCCCAGGACTATGAACAGTTGACGAATAAGTTTGAACGGCAGCCAGTGAGTCCCAGCCGGATGGGATGGCAGGGAGGAGGGGGATCCCCTCATTCAAGTGGGTGGGAGGATCAGCATCTTTCCCCCACCCATTAAAGTGGAAGGAAGCCCCCCCCCAGGGTGAGCTTGGTCTGAGCAGGGAGGGGGGCTGCCAGGCTGGGCTCTGCTCACCCGGCCTGGGACTCTGCCGCCCCCAGCTGGCCATGCAGTTCATCACCCAGTACGGCTACGAGGACGTCGCCTGGGCCCGCATCGAGGGCAGCTCCGGATCCCTGTGGAGTATCAGCCCCCCCAGCCGTGAGCAGCTCTGGCAGGAGCTGCACAACGGCTCCTCGGACATCACTCTGCGCTTCACCTGGAACTTCCAAAGGTACTTCAGACCGGGGCCACAAAGCCTCCCCTGCAGGGCGGTGCTCTGCCTGCTTAAGTCAGATGCCCCTCTTGGCTTTGTGGGGTTTGCCTGGAACGGCCGGTGCAGCCCCGAAGAGTGCCGCTTCTGGCATTTTGACGCTTAGGACAGCCTGAGGGGGTTGTGGGTGCAAAAGAGCTCCATGGATGGGGGGAGGGGTGTGTGACAAAGGGATCTGAAACCCCTTCTTTTATTCTGCTTCTCCCTTCCTTCCTCCTCCTCTTCCTCAATTCCCAGGGATCTCCGCAAAGGAGGAAAAACGGAGTACACCACCCAGAAGCACACTATGGATCTGGACCAGAAGAGTCTTGTGAGGCAAAATTTGGCTGGAATGCTGCAAGGCACCCATCATGCCCCTGTGTGAGTCCCCCTTCCCCGCCCCTTCCAGCAAGGCACCCATTGCCAAATGGGCCAGGGAGTGTGGGGGGCCAGCAAGGTGGGGAAAGGGCCCTCCGGTTGCAGGGGTCCAGATTCACACACTGCAGAGCCTGAAGCGCACGGTGGCTTCAGCCATGTGCAAATGCTGCCTGTGTTTTCAGGCTTGTTTATCTTGCTGTGTTTTGTCCTTGTCCCAGGCGGATACCCCATCTCTTCCCTCCCTACATACGGGCACCCAGCGGCCCCGAGGCGGACCCGGTTGAGGCCCTGCTCCCAGGTGAGGACAACGGGCAGAAACCACTTTGCACAAACTCACAGCTGACCGTTTAATTTCCCAGCTCCTCTCTCTGAGTTGATGCAAGTTCCCGATGCTAACTGGGAAACAATCCAGGGGCTGGAATTGGCTCCCCCCGTCAGCAGAAATGCCCACCTGCCATCGCAAGAACAGCCGGGGCACCTTTCTGGCTTTTTAAGGTGGGAGCAGAAACAGGAGGCAAATGGCTCCGTTTCCCTGTTCCTAAAAGGCCAGCATGGTGCCCAAGACACTTTTGGCTCGGCAGGGTGGTTTTCCAAGGTAAAAAGAGAGCGGTTTGCCTTCCCTCTCTGCTTTCCGGCTTGTTTTTGAAAGAGAGCTCCAAAATTTGTGTAGTGCAAACTCGGGAATTTTGCTCCTCAGTTTTGGTGGCACATAGTTTGAAGCCCCAGTAAGAACAGCAGAAGGAATTAAAATGGTTCGATGAATAGATAAATCCCCGATGCCGCTCCTAAACAGTGCAACTGGGGCAGGGAGGACTCTAAAGAAATGGGAGCAACTGGTGAGGAAGAGTGTTACCAGTGTCAGGATGGACGTCTCACTTGATAAGCGGGCTGGTGCTTTTTTCGGCACCTTCTTCCCTCTCCCCCTCTCTTCCAGACGGAGAAGACAGCTACCTGCCCGTGCAAGTGCAGCTGAAGCAGCAGCGGATCCGGCCCGGGAACAGCAGCACCAGCTTCCTGGAGTGGTGGATGATCCAGCTGGTGGACTGCCAGGCGGACTGCCACATCCTGCCCATGGTCATCTTCAGCGACAAAGTCAGCCCCCCCAGCCTGGGCTTCCTGGCAGGATACGGGTGAGTGGCCAATCCACCAGCCCATCAGGGTGAACGCTAGGTGTGCTTGAGCAGACATGGATGTAAGGAAGCGGGAGGGAAGCTGGGCCTGAGGTCTCCAGGGAAAGAGCAAGCCCCCCCCCCCATTGAATGGAGGTCCCTGGGCTCACCTGGCTTTGCTGCAGCCGGCCCACTTAGATTCCAACACCTGAGACAGCACTCGGAACATGGTTAAATGCTGCCCCTTTGTGTGAGAAATGCAACCAGCGTTTCTTTGCCCGCAGATGTTAATAGCTTGCAAAAATTTAACCACCTAAAAGGGGGGGGTCCCCAATCTCCTTCCTACCTCGCATGGCCATCTTTGCAAAGCGTTTCTAAAAATAAACAGCAGAATTAGGGTGTCTCCTTTCCTGCTTTGAAGTGACACAACCCCCACGCATCAATCAGGGGCAAGGCAGGTCATTCGGTCCCTTTTCAAGGTTTCCTCTGGATTAGCAAACAGCTGAGATCACGCCCCGGGCTAAGCCATGGGATCGGGGCTGACAGATCCCAAGCGGATCCTGCTCAGACAGCTTGCTGATGCTTTGTCGGTTGTGGGAATGGGCTCCGGAGTCAGGGGGTCTTTCAACGGCCTGGGGGAGGGGTTGCCTGTCCCATGAGGCGAACTGCGCAGGGGCACTGTAGGAGCTCTTTCTCTGCTCAGGATCATGGGCCTCTACGTCTCCATCGTGCTGGTGATTGGCAAGTTCGTGCGGGGCTTCTTCAGCGAGGTCTCCCACTCCATCATGTTTGAGGAGCTGCCCTGCGTGGACCGCATCCTCAAGCTCTGCAACAACATCTTCCTGGTTCGGGAGACGGGGGAACTGGAGTTGGAGGAGGAGCTGTACGCCAAGCTCATCTTCCTCTACCGCTCGCCAGAGACCATGATCAAGTGGACCCGGGAGAGGGACTGAGCGGAGGGCCAGCATAGAGGGAGCTCCCTTCACCCATGGAACAGCCGTGGGAGACCCGCAGCCCAGGAGGGGGAACCGGAACGTGGACACCAACCCTTCCCGCCCCGCTGAAGGCTCTGGGGTGGGGCGGCCCCATAACCTGAGCCACACTTGCAGCCCAATGCAGGGGGAGACACACAAAACACTTTTTGAAACACTTTTCCTTTAAAAAAAAAAGAAAAAAGATATTACATGCACCGCCTCCTGGACTCCTGCTTCCTTCCCCCATGGAGACCAGGAAGTGTTTGGAAAGGAATGGTTGTCCTGCTGCTGAAATGTCCAGAGCCGCCCACCTATCACCCTCTGCAGCCACTGACCCTCCCTCCCCCTCGGCAAGCATTTTGCTGCTGGAAACAAGGCTGCTGGGCGTCTATAAAGTATTTTTTCTATAGGAGGTCATTTTATTTATACAGATCTATATAATAAAAACAAAGCTGTGATTTTCAAAAGGTGGTGAAAAGTCAAGATGGACTTTGGGGAGTGAAGGAGAGAAATTTCTCTGGTTCAGCAGCCAAGCTTTGAGGGTTCAATTTCTCCAGAAATGTCCAGAACAGTTTTCAAGAGTTTAAATGAGGTCTTGGGAGGTCTGGATGGGGGCAAGCGCCAAGAAGGAACCTGGTTTCCTTGGGATGCTTATAAAACTTCTCTGAGCCTGCTCCCTTTATACCTTCTAGGATTTGAATCCTGTGTAGAAACAGAGAAATTCAGTTCACTTGCGCATCCAAAGAGCTTAGGAGGCCAAACTGGCCAGACGTGAAAGATCCTTCGTGGCTCAGTCTGTCTGTTGCTGGATCCAAAATGTGTTTCTTTGCTTGAAAAACACTTGCGGAAGCAGAGCATCAGGCCTTTAAGAGCATTACCCCGACACTCCTTTAGGCTGCAAAGCAGGAGTCCTCAACCTTGGCAACTAAGATTTGTGGACTTCAACTCCCAGCTTTGCCGGCTGAGGAATTCTGGGAGTTAAAGTCCACAAGTCTTAAAGTTGCCAAGGTTGACCCCTGCTGTAAAGCACGATGCAGATTAACCATCATCTTCAAGCAAGAATTCCTGGATTTCTTGTTTCATCACAGCCCTGCAAAGGAAGTGAAAGAGACATCACTGCAAACCTGAGTTTGCGTATCACTCTAGACTAGGGTTTGTTCGAATAGCGTGCCGGCTGGGGAATTCTGGGAGTTGAAATCTAGGTATTTTAAAAAGTTGCCATAGTTCAAACGCACTGATGAACTGGACGACTGCCTGTTGCACAAGCAGGAGCCAGTGCATCCTTCAAGGACTTGTCCTTTTTGTCTTGGCCCCAACAGCTGCAGGAGTACAAGCAGCGTCCCATTAGGGTGATTCTTTGTCCCCTTGCCACTGATGTCTGGGCCTCGGCAGGGGGAGTGGATGTCGCTCAGGTTGAATTGGTGAGGTCTTGGGGTCTCTGAGCTGGCTTTTCTTCTTGGGCCCACATCAATAACAGTTGCAAATACCCAGTTGCAGTCTTTTTGGGCTGCATTGCTGCCCCGAAGAAGAGCAACAGGGTCTCGTTTCTCTTGGCACAAATTCCTCAGGCAAAGACTGCCCCATACCTGCATCGCTGGCGCTCGGCCTCCTCATGAATGTATGGGGGTAGAGACTCCACACAGCTCTGCAAAGGAATTCTGGAGTGAGCAGAGACAGCAGGATCCATGGCCTTGTTACTTTACAAGGGGTAGCCCCTCAATTACCCTCAACCCGTAGCAGGGCACCCCAACAGCCACCCACCACATAACCTGAAGCGCCTCAAAAGCCAGCATGGAACCCCAGAAATTCTCCAAACTTCAAGCCAGAGTGCTGTTTGTCCTCAGCCTGGCCACTTCTGCCTCGGCCCACCTGTGCGTCAACATACATGGGCCCTTCTGGTTGCACAACCCTTCCTTGCACACTTACCAGCTCCTTGACTGTTAGACGGCAGCCATAACAGAGCAGCGGGACAAGCTGGGAGGTCTCACTGGGGGAAAAGCAGAACCTCAGTCACCTGTGCTGACTAGTGATTTACTTGGGGAGGGGGCTACGGCGGGCTCATCCACATCCAACAGTACATTCTTTATGAGGGCTCTTACCTTCCTACTGGGGGGGTTCCGCAGCAACCTGCCTGGGTCCTCTCTCCGCAACATCCATCCTCATCTGGAGGCCTCCGGCTGAACTTTTCTGAAAGCAGCGTGGCCTGCAGGGAGGATCCGTCCTCTGGGAGGAAAGGAGAATTACCGCCTCTGACAGCTGGTGCTTGGGCCAGGAGGCAAAAGCCGTGACGGCTGAAGCTGGATTTTTATACATTGCAGGTAAGCGAACCTCACAGCAGTCAGGGCTCAAGGATAGGATAGTTCCCCTGCACATGTTAAGCCAGCAGGCAGTCACGTCTGGATCTTTCTGTTCTAGCAAACTCTCCTTGCTGAAGCAGCAAATTTGCATTTATCTCAATGCCTGTTTGGCAAAACAACAGGGAGGGAAACGACCCCTTCCTCCCCATTTCAATTCCCAGGTTTCTCCAAGGACTGGCTGTAACTCTGACCACCGCAAAGATCTGGCTAGCATCTCGGCCCTTGCCTGTTCTAGAACCCCCAGCAATCTAGAAGTGGGTCTCTCCCCTTCCCCAAAGAAGACCACTAACCAACATTGGTGTCCAGGGGGCAGAGGCAGAGAAGGCAGTGGGCCGGTACCGCCAGTACATCAGACTCAACCTCTTGAGGAACTGCACTCAGCTTCTCTCCTGTCCTGGAACAGAGACCCGAGGGGGCATCAAGAAGAGATGGAGGGAAGCCCACCTCCCCCATTCACACTACTTGCACCTCCTGAAGAGGCCATAAAATCCCTTTGGGACTAGATGCCACTTGTTTTAAGAGGGCACTTGCAGTCGAGAGCTGAAAGGATCCTGCCTATTAAATGCAGGCAGAGAGGGCTCAGCTAGATTTTCAGAAAGCAAGCCAACACCCCCCCCCACACACACACACCCCAATCTGTTTTCTAGCTTGCTCTGCTTTGCCCACAGAAGCCCGGAGATGTAGCCAGAGCTGAAGAGGGTCCATGAGTATGTGGGAAGGGAGTCGTGCCTAAAGGACAACGCTGCTGATCGTTTACCAGGCACTTCATCCAGCAGTTGGTCCTTTACTGGACGAAGGGAGGGACACTCACCGGTAGACTGTGCTGATGGTAGAAGGGAACTCCGACTGCAGCTTGCAGAGAAAGCTCTCCATCAGAAGGTGAATGCTGGCTCTGTCCGAGGCCTGGGGGAAGGGAAAGCATTTGTCACGGCTGCTCGGATCCTCCTGGCCCACCCGAGGGGACCCTCTGTCCCCTTCCACTCTGCCTCCAGCCAAACTCCGAACTGCCTACTTTGGTGTCCAGTCCAGGCGTGAAGACGGTGGGCACCCCAAAGAGGTAGTTGTAGAATGCGATCTCTTTGGCAGGATATTCCCGCATTGGGCGCAGGATGAGGACGTCCCCATAGCGGCTGTCCAAGAAGCCCTTTGGGGAAGGAGAAAGGAAAGGAAGAAGAGGAAGATGAGCGGGGCCAGATCAAAGAGCAGAGAGGCACAGCTGCTCAGAGGCACCGGGCACCCTTGTAGCACAACATCTCAGCAGGATTCTGGAACAGAGACTGAGCTAATAGGGAAAGCTCCAACTGGTTTATCTGGCCACAGCCTCAATGACAATGACCTGGCTCTTCTTCTACTGTATTATTCAGTGTGTTTGTTTGGAAAATATTCCTCAGTGGGCTTATCCTGGGTGAAATGTGCAGTCTTAGCCTCTTGACTCTATGCAGGTTTAGGTCAGGTTTTTGCTTCCTTCTTCAGGGGCCAGAATTGGCTTGATAAAGCTTTGGGCAGTTGCTTGCAAGGATGAACATGTCTAAATCAAAGAGTGAGGCAAGGAATCCGCTGATGAGACCAAAACATGGAGCAAGCTGTGTCCCAGGGGGAGGGGGAGAGGGGGGGGACACTACTGTATAAGCCACTTTGTTCTCACCGTGTCCATAGCCAGGAAGGCCCCACGTCCCAGACAGAGGTTGGTCAACAACTTGGTGCTCACACGGGTGCAGCTATCTCCCACCATCACCTTCGTGTATCCATTTTTTCGAGCCACGTGCAGCATCAGGTGGGTCCTAAAAAGCAAAGAGGACTCTCCCATTTCAGCCAAGAATTTGAGATCCAACCAGGGGCCCAGAAAACAACAGAACGTTTGTTGTTTTCCTAGAAACAGCTGCCTAGAATACCACAGAATCTGCAATCTAGGAGGACCAGAGACAGCAGCCTTTGACTATGAAACCCTCTCTAAGTCTGGTTAGGGGCTGCTTGCAAAGACATCCTTCTATCAAGAATGCCAGCCTGTTTCCTGAGGCTCCTGAACTAGGATATGGCACTGAATGACCCTCTGTTAAGAGGGCTAGACAACAAGAATGTGTGAATACACCTGCAAAGCTTCTTTTTAGTTCTCATCATTCTCACAATGAGACCTCATCCAGCTCACATTGTGGGCATTAACATCTTCACTCAGGATCTTAGCAAGGAGCTCACCGGAGAGTCTGCAGAAGCTCCTCTTTTGCAGTTAAGGATCTGACACCCCGAAAGAGGCGGGACAGCTCTTCCATGTGGGAAGCAGAAGAGCCGGCATCATCCAGAACTGCCAACCGTTCCTGCCACGAGCAGCCTGGCGTGCTACACTCTGCCAGCTGGGCCTCCAGGGAAGTCTCTGCATCCCCCCTCTTCCCCTGCTGCTGCTGCTGCTGCCACCTTGTGAAATCAGCCACTGCTTCCTTGTAGCTGGGAGCCTGGTCAGAAGGACTGTGGGAAAGCGAGTTCAGGACAGAAGTGGGAAGGTCAAACGCCTATGAAAGAGCCCAAGGATATAACTGGGTCAAACACTGACTGAAGCCTGCACAAACTACAATTGCTTTGACAGTTTTACAGAACTCAGAATTATATTTCTTTCCTGCCTTGTCAAGCTTAATGTCACTTTCCCTTATTCTTTTTTTCTGAAAGTGACAGTACTAGAAGAGCATCTATATTATCAGCTTCCCTTTTCACGAATTTTTCTCTGATCCTGTTATTTTACTTCCATAATGCAAAAGTGGGCAAACTAATCTGGGGCAGAGTTCAAAGGATTATACTAGCTACATTTGATAGAAGAAGGATAATACTGCCCTGCCTGGGGTCTTCCTAGTGTCTGCCTTTCTGATGGTCTAATTCAGCGTTTCTCAATCTCAGAAACCTCAGGATATCTGGAATTCAACTCTCAAAACTCCCCACCGAGCCCCAGAATTGCTGAGGATGTGAAGCCCTGCTCTAATTTAATTTGCTGAACAATATTAGTACTAATAATACAATTTTCTTCCAGGCAAATCACATCAAACCCGCCAGTTGACTAAGGCCACTGCTGTTGATGTCGTACCATCAAAATGTACTGCAATGAGGGTGCTGAATCTCAGCCATATTTACCTCCTCCAAGAATGCCAGATGATAGGGAAATCCTGTGGCTCGCAGGATAGCCTCAACCTGCCTGCAGGTTTTCTCTCGCTCATCCAAGCTCCGTCCACACACAGCTCCCTCTGCACAGCAAAACCAAAACTGTCAGTGAATGGCTAGTCTGAAAGAACTTCAACAGCCCTGGGAACATTCTCTGCCATGGTATCTTCAATCATGGGAGATATTGGATCTGCCCATTGATTTAGAACAGGGGTGGGCAATTATGTCAACTTTACCACCTGTGGACTTCAACTCCCAGAATTCCTGAGCCAACCGGGAATTCTGGGAGTTAAAGTCTGCAGGTTGTAAAGTTGACATAATTGCCCACTCCTGATTTAGAAGGATGGGTCACTTCTGATTTCAACCTTTCAATGCACTGTAATGCTCAACGGTTAATATGATTAAAGGGGATCCACTTTGGAAATCAACTTCCCTAAACACCCCTCTGCATCTCTCAGGAAAGTGGCCATCTTCACAAGCCACAACGTTTCAGTTAAAACAAACTGCGTGCATACTGACTCCATCCCCCAAAGCATGCACAGCGCTGCCAGCACAAACCGTCAATATAGATTATTCCTGGTCTGAAGCGAAGTTTCTTGGCTGCTTCTCGGTTTAGGCCCTGACAAGGAGAAGCAAAACAGGCTTCAGTTCAAAAACTTTGCCCAGGTTTTCATGCTTCATCTACTAGGGCAGGGGTCCCCAACCAGGGGTGCAAGATGATATTCCAGGGTATGTGAAAACTTGGGTCTTCAAAATTATAGTGTATATGCAAAATTCATTGCCGTTATTTAGAACTTTTGTAAGGGGTGCGAGAATATATCAGAAGCGTTCTAGGGGTATAGAAAAGATTGGAAGCTGCTGTTCTAGGGGCTTCTGCTGTTTGGCTGCCCCCCCCCCTTGGAGGTCAAACATACCTCTTGCACCTGCCGCAACATTGAGCTGGAGGCAAGACCCCCCGAAAAAGCCAGGAGAACCTAAAACAGTAGGGAGAAAGCATCACAACATTTGTTTCACACTTTTAGCTGCCATCCTGCCCATCTCTCTTGCCCTGAAGCAGTGAAGTTTATGATAGGACAGGACCTTCTCTCCAGGGTAAATGCAGCGGTTCTTCCCAAGCATGGCACGGAACTTGTGAACAAAGTAGTCCTTGAAGCAGTCCCTGCAAAGCACGTGAAACAGTGTGGGGAAAAGCCCAGATTCCTTGCCAGGGAAAAAAAATATTCTGCACCAGCATGGGGGGACCCGTTCTGAATTATTCAAAATTCTCCATCTCACCCTCAGTCGCCTGTTGCACTCACTTGCAGAAGGCATCTCCAGCACGAATGATCACCACCGGGGAGCCCTCCTTGCACTTCATGCATTTGGAGTCACAGCTTGGGGAAGAGAAAGTGAAGATCAGGCTGCAAAGACTCTTATCAGATACCCAAATTTATCCTCCTCCTGTATCTCTCCGACACGGAAGTTGCGGCAGTGGGAAAAGCAATTACTTTCTAGTAAAAACAGTTTTTCAACCTTGGCAACTTTTCAGATGAGTAGATTTCAACTCTCAGAATTCCCCAGCCTACCTACCCCATCAATCCATCCACGGCCTGGGGGATTCTGGGAGTTGCAGCTTACCCGCCTTAAAAGCTGAGCAGCTGTGCCGAGTCATGATTTGCTCAAGCCCAGTTTGCCTAACAAGCCACTGCTTATGACTAGGATATGCTCGCGACTAGCCTTCCCACTATCGGCTCATGCAATGCTAGCTTGTTCAACAAGCCATGGATTGTTGGTATGCTTCCCCTCCGCCAACGACCGCGGGGATTCGGGGTCAGCGGGCGGAGCTTCCTCACCGGCCCCGGGGCGCCTCCCTCGGGAGCCGTTCCCCGCCGCAGCCGCCCGCCTCGCCGCCGTCGCACATCGCCGCCTCCGCCCCGGCCACGTGGAGCGCCGCAGTCTCGCCGGCGCCTCCTGATGACGTTCAGCGGCCTCTCCCCCCCCCCTTTCCCCGGCCGGGAGACCAAAATTCCCAGACGGGCCCTTCGCGCGTCCCCGCACCGCGATAGCGCCGCGTCGCCGGCAAGTCTCGCGAGAGCCGCGGCGAGGGGCAACTCCGGCACCGTCCCGGCCTGGGACGCGGGGAGGTCGCGGGGGCGATGACGTAGTTGGAATGCGCCGCTTTCCCTGCCTGCCTCCCCTTCCGCGATGGCGGCCGCGATGTTCCGGAGCTTGCTGGTGTCGGCGGGGGGGTCCCGCGAGGCGCCCTCCGCGGCCGCCCCGCCGAGCGCCGCCCCCGTCCCGCCGCCGCCTCACCTGCCCGAGCCCGGCGCCGCGCTGGAGGCCCAGTTCAGCTGCCCCATTTGCCTGGAGGTCTACCAGCGCCCGGTCCGCATCACCCCCTGCAGGCACACGTGAGCGGGGGGAGACGGGAGGGCTGAGGGGAGGGGGCCGTGGGGGGGCAGGGAGGAGTGGGGGGTCAAGGGCCCCGGAGAGAAAGGGCCGGGGGGGGGAGCGAGGGCAGACTGCGAGGCAGAGTGGGCCCTCCAGGTGTTTTGGGGGGGGGGAGCAGCTGCTGCTGAAGTTCTCGGACGGGCCCGTGAACAGCAGTCCCAGGGGAGCATCCAAGGGGTCCAGCTTCCCCTCTCACCGCGGAGGGAGCTTAATTCTGCTCCCGCATTCTTGATTTGTAAGGTTACTGGCGTTTCCACTTGGCGCTTGGGGAGGAATTCCTGAGTTCGGGAAGGCAAGGGCAGGACAGTGTGGCTTGCCTTAAAATCAGGAGACCCTCATCCACAGAGGCAGCAAATGCTCCGAAGCATCTCTTCAGTTTTGTTGATGCATGGATCATGATCTAATACAGGGGTCTCCGAAGTTGGCAACTTTGTGACTTCTGGGAGTTGAAGTTCACAAGTCTTAAAATTGCCCAGTTTGGAGACCCCTGATGTAGTGCATGTCCTTGGGCTTCCTTTTGGCTGAAGCGCACCAGCCCTCCATCTTGGGTGAGGAATCCATCCCTTCTTCACATTACCTTTTGAGCACTGTGTGCAGTTTTCCCACAGTTCTCCAGACTCTGGGAGAAATCAGACCTCTCTTTCCGTAGATTTTGTGGGGAATGCCTGCAGCCCTGTCTCCAAGTTCCGTCTCCTCTCTGTCCCCTTTGCCGCATGCCCTTTGACCCCAAGAAGGTGGAGAAGGCCTCCATTGTGGAAAAGCAGCTGTCTTCCTTCAAGGCACCCTGTCGAGGCTGCAGTAAAAAGGTAATCTTAAGGGCTTGTGCACTTAGGCAGAGGCAACAAAGCTAGATCATTATAAGCCACCTTGCTTTTTACTGCCTGCAGTAAAAAAAAAATACAGAAGGCTTCAAATAGATATCCATCCTCTCTTAATCCTTCCTGTATCCCAGGTGACCCTTGCAAAGATGAGATCTCACATCACATCATGTGCAAAAGTCCAGGAACAAATGGCCAACTGTCCAAAGTTTGTGCCTGTCGTCCCAACATCCCAACCTATTCCAAGGTATTTCCTTCTTTGCAGCTTCGAGCCCCTCCCTAACTTGCTGGTTTCCAGGTTTTAGAATATCTCCTGCACTCTCAAGCAAGGTTAGGAGGGAAAGAGAGAGTCCAGCATCTCTTTAGTAAAGAAGTTGGAAGTATTGTCCTTGTGGGTCAGCATTTCTCAAGTTAAGCAGCTTGAAATTGTGTAGACCTCGGTTCCCAAAATCCCAGAATAGGGTGGACTTCAACTCCCAGAATTCCTCAGCCAGCATGCTGAACTTAGGTCCAGCCATCTTCTAGTCACTGAGCTGTGCTGTTGTCCCTTTCAGCAATATTCCAAACCGATCCACATTTGTCTGTCCCTATTGTGGAGCACGGAACCTGGATCAGCAGGAGCTAGTGAAGCACTGCATGGAGAATCATCGCAATGACCCTAACAAAGTGGTGAGTTGTGTTCATGTCACTGTTTGGTGAAACGGAAAGCCAAATTAGCCAAAATCTGAGAATAAGAAGGAAGTAGTTTCTTATTTGAAAAGCGGGAGAACTTTTGCTTATTTCCTCCCCCTGTTTATGCCATAGCTAGAGTGTCCTGCCCTGCTTTTACAAACCAGGGATAATAAAACACACCGCTGCAGCTGCAGTGGCAAATATGCTTCCCAGCTACTGCAAAGGCTTATCTTGTCCCTTTCATTTTGTACGTGGAGCTGCTAAAGAAATGTGTTTCATGAACAAATTGGATGGTGTATTTCCCTCATGTAAAGTCATGGAAGTGTCCCGGGGATCTAAAAGCATGCCTCCCTTTGTCCCAGCTTCACTTAATTGCTCAGTTTGTGTATAATCTTGTGACTGTTGGGAGCTTTATTTGATGGGGCTATTGGTTTTAATATCATCACTTGTCTCTGAAATTTTATAGAGAATAGAATATTAATACATCTGCATTCCATAAGAAAGGCTGAGCACAAAAGAATTGAGGCCTTTGAACTATGGTGCTGGAGAAGACTCCTGCGAGTCCCTTGGACTGCAAGGAGATCAAACCGGTCAGTCCTAGAGGAGATCAACCCTGACTGCTCTTTAGAAGGCCAGATCTTGAAGTTGAAACTCAAGTACTTTGGCCACCTAATGAGAAGGAAGGACTCACTGGAGAAGAGCCTAATGCTGGGAAATATTGAGGGCAATAGAAGAAGAGGACGACAGAGAATGAGGTGGCTGGATGGAGTCACCGAAGCAGTAGGCGTGAGCTTAAATGGACTCCAGAAGATGGTAGAGAACAGGAAGGCCTGGAGGAATGTTGTCCATGGGGTCGTGATGGTTCAGACACAACTTCACAACTAACAACAACACCTGCATTTAGGGTGTTTTATGGCTAGCAAAGCATGCATTTTTGAAGCTGGATTCTGCGTGCTAGAGAACAGGAAATTGTTCTGTTTTCTTTTTTTTCCCCATGAAGCGATCACACCATTGCTTCTATCACTTTGATCCTGGAATTGAGTGTTTCTTCTTCTTTGTTGACTGTCCTCTTTTTCTCTCCCTGGGTGTTCCAGGTCTGTCCAGTGTGCTCAGCCATGCCTTGGGGGGACCCAAGTTACAAGAGTGCCAACTTTCTACAGCATCTCCTGCACAGGCACAAGTTTTCCTATGACACGTTTGTGGTGGGTACTGCATTCCATAGCATGTTATTTCAGTGGATTGTGTCTGCTGCTTCCAGACCCCAAGGCAGCATGAGAATCGCCTTTAATAATAAAAGCAGATCAAATTGCCCTTGTGGGAGGAGTTATGGCAACACTGGAATGGTTTCCTCTTAGTGTTCTTTATGTCCTGCTCTTGCCATCCTGGTGGGCTCAAATAAGGTCACAAGAATGTATTGGCATCAGAGGTATTTTTCTGTGCTGCCCGCCCACCCGGACCATTGTGGGTGCAATAATAGGCACAGACTTCAAAAATCATTGCTCCCTTCTGATCAGATCCTATGTGAACTACTGTGTCCAATTCTAGCACCACAGTTCCTAAAGGATGGTGATACAGGTTAGAGTAACTTGCAAGGAGGACCAAGATGGTGAAAGATCTAGAAACCAAGCCTTTTGTGGGAGGGTCTGGACAGGTGTACTCTGCCATAGAGAGAACTGAAGGCAGCCTTCACATTTCTGAGGAATGGTCACCGAGAAAAGGAAGTAGGCCTGTTGCTCAGAGGGTAGGACCAGACCCAGTGGGTCAAAACTACAGGGAAGGAGATTCAAGCTAGATCTAACAATATGAACCGTCAGCCAGAGGAAAAGCTGCCTCGTGAAGACAAGAGGTGTCCTTCACTGGAGATGGTCAAGCAAAGGCTGGATGGTTATTTTAGCAGAGGCGTATCAGCGGATTCTGCAGAGAGTCAGGGGTCCTAGATGACCTCTACAGTCATTCTGAACTCCAGCCTGCCCTGCATGGAAAGTGGGGGCTCTTCTGCTCTTTGCTGCAACATTCTCCTGCTTTCTTTCCAGGACTATAACATTGATGAGGAAGCGGCTTTACAGGCAGCCCTGGCGCTCTCCCTCTCGGAGAACTGAGGACCTTTGACACTGCCGAGCAGCAGACAGGAACTGCTGCAGATTTGCCTGACTCTCCTGCGTTGGAGCCATGCGCCGCTTGCCCTGCCCGTTAGCTCCCGGAGGGCGGCTGTGGCCGTCTCCTCAACTTTTGTCTTGCCTCGTTCAGTCTGGAAACCTGTTCCTCGGGGCAGGGGCAGCGAAAAGGGGCACTTCCCTTTCCCCGGTTCCATCGGATCTGCTCTGTACTACCAGTTGGACGTTCCCCACGCCACTCAGTACAGATGGTATACTTTATTAAGATGCTTTTAATACAGTTTTAGCACCATCGGCCCTCATTCCGTTAGCGGTTTATATAGCAACAAAACATTTTGTGGGGAAACTGTTGTTTACATTTCTTTTATTGCCTGTGTCTTTGGGTTAATTCACTGGATCGTTTTAATTTGGGAAAAACAATCAGCATGGGAGACTTAAATCTTGTATGAATATTTATTATGCGCTTGGGTGCAACTTGCCTGCTCCTTGGCCATCGTGGCGAGGGATTGGGGGATAAACCCGTGCGTGGAAAGCAGTCTTTCAAAGAGGTTTGTGATGCCCAAGCAAGATCAGAAGGCCGTTCCTGACTTGAGCATAATTGTTTTGGCAAATCTCTCTCTCCTCTCCCCACAACTGACCTTGCTCATTTTGTATCTGCTTTTGTGATACTCTAGAAGTTCTTGGTGGTTTTTTTCTACATCTCTCCATGTAACAAATACTCTTCACATTTTATAGAGAGAATACAAAGCAGTTAACCCTTGATATTGCAATATCTGTGTTTGACTAGAACAATAGTATTTTTATGGAACATTATTTTTCAAAGTATATTTTTTAAAGAAAAGTGCCCTGGGTTCCAGATCTTCGGGCTCTCAGGAGGAGGGTCTCAAACCTGGAGGGAAGGAGGGGCTTCCTTTTATTAATTTCTCAGCAGTCGGTCGGTGGTCTTTTTGGAGGGTTTGAGGATTTTTGTTCTCTGCAAGAAAAGAGGGGGGAAAGACAACTTTCGGGGGTTTCCTTCAAGTAGCCTTTTAAGGGATTGTTGCAAGTTGTTACAAAGCAGAACTGCTAAGACTTCATTATCCAGGTGTTCGGATTGTGGGTCGGTGGGCCTGAAGTCGACTGGAAAGAAATAAAAGCTGTGAATAAGCTACAACTAGGGTGTGTCTGTGTGACTTCAGAGCAGCCCTAGCGTTCGTTCGGCTGTGAATCCAGCCACGGGCATTTCTGTGTGTGCAACAAACTAGTATTGCAGTTTATTCAGTGAGGTGCAACTATACAAACCATGGCTTGCTATACAAATCAAGCCCCTAACTGAAAGTGGCTTGTCTTTGCTTATTGGGCTTGTAGAAACAGGTCTGACTTGCAGGTGCGTTATGTTCCTCTGCAGCTTGGTTGTCTTTGTTATCCAGGTGTTTGTCCTTCACTTGCTAAACCTATAATAATAATAATAATAATAATAAAGTTGGAAGGGACCTTGGAGGTCATCTAGTCAAACCCCCTACTCAGGCAGGAAACCTTATACCATTTCAGAGAAATGGCTGTCCAGTCTCTTCTTAAAAACCTCCAGTGATGGAGCACCGACAACTTCTAGAGGCAGGTCATTCCACTGGTTAATTGTTCTAACTGTCAGGACCTAGAACTGTTAGTTCTAGGTTGCTTCTCTCCTTGATTGGTTTCCACCCGTTGCTTCTTCTCCTGCCTTCAGGTGCTTTGGAGAAGAGCTTGACTCTTTGTGGCAGCCCCTGAGATATTGGAACACTGATATTTCTTCACTCTGATAGGGAGAAAACAGCTGGGCGGATGGTTTTCCAAAGCTGAAGGGTTTTGCAGCCATTGCATGAATGGGTAAGCTTTTTGCACTAGTCTTAGGAACAAGGGAAATATATGTGCAAGTGTGCCCTTGCCGTCGTTCCACCCCATGTGTGTCCCATATCCTTCTCCCCACAAAATTTTTAAGTTATTGAATGTTCTTCCTTGGTTGACAGAGAAGACAACACAACTTTTGAGCATTCGGTAAGGTCTCTGTTGTCTAGAGGGAGGTGCTATTCATTCATTCCACCCACCCACCAATATTTGATAACGTGTTCTGAGGTTCCCTTCCCTCCTCAGCCCCCAACACCTCCACATACTTTCCCAGTCCTAACGGTTCCTTTGGAGTCTCTCCAGGAAAGCCTGCATTCCTCAGACAGCTCAGCCTTATATAGCCTCCCGCAATCCCAGGCCGTCTGCATTTGAACAGCCACCATCCCTACCAAGTGTCACTTAACATTCTCTGCTAGGCAGAAGGGCAGGCAGTGAGCTCATGCAGCTGCCCTCCAACGTAAGGATGGGGGGGGGAGATGAAAAGAAGGCTGCCTGCCCTACCTAGTGCCCCCTTGTAGGTCAGGGACCCTCTTTGGCTCCTCCGTCTGCGCTGGGCTCCGTTGGGAGCAGCCCTTCCCCCCCAGGGTACTTTTGCTGGAGATGGCAGCACTTCTGGGTAATCCAAACCCACTGAGGGGCCCACCTCATAGGAGGGGGCTCGTTCTGAGGGACCATGTCTATTCTCATGAGGTCCACCCTACAGGTCTTGTGCCCCCCTCCAACTTAATACATGGATAGGTAGTAGATATCAAATTCCTATCCTGCCCAAAAGCTGCCACATTGTCTTGCGGGACTGTAGGGTCTCCGGAGCCGAAGGCTCTGAGGAACAGCTGGTGGAGGGGTCCCCCTCTGCCCCCTGCAAAGAGAGGTCTGGTATGCAGCTGCCTGGAAAGCTGCAAGGGAGTAAACAATAATAGAAGGCTGGCTGACCCTTTTGAGACACGAGGAATGCTCTTCCTCTGTTCCTAAAAATAGAATTGGCCTGTGACCGCTGATACATATTTGGAACAAAAAAAAATTCTTTTCATCCCCCTTTTGAGCAAGCAGGGGAAGGAAAAAACCTCTGGGGCTGAGATGCTCAGAAGAAGAGGAATTCTGTGCCTGGGTGAGTGAGCTGATTGGGAGGGGCTCCTGCTGCAAATCCCACCCTGCCTTTCTCCCAGATGGGCGTAGGACAGGAATTCCCCAGCCAGTCATGAAGTGCAGCAACCCTGCCCTGCTTTCCATTCCAGCCCAAAGGGTTCTCTTGAATCGGTGGGAGTTGGTGGAGCAGGAAGAATGAAGGTTTTGCAGTGTTGAGTTGAATGTTAGGCCAGGTTCAAGTCCCCCCCCCCCGAGCCCCCAGGGTTTGCCCCAGTCCAGGCGTTCCGTGGTGTTCCCTTAGTTCATAGCAATCTATGCCAAAGATGGGTCCAGTTCTCCATCAGTCCATCCATCCATCCTGAATGCTGCCCAGATCTGCTGGATGCTGCTTGGGCTGCTCTGGAAGCATTCCCAACTCCCCTCGGCGCTTCTCTCAGGGCAACAGCCTGTGGGGAAGCCCTGGAAGACTCCGGCTCTTGTCGGTCTTGGGGGGGCAGAAGTCTCTCCCCAAACCCCCCCCCCGCCGCGTCCCCGACCCCCTTGGATCAGGCGCCGGGGCTTCGGATGCGTCTCCCTGCCTTTGCGCCAAGTGGGTGTACGGGTGCGGGGGGGACTTTGGGGAGCCACGAGGGGTCCGGAGACCGACCTGGACCCTGCCGGGCAGGGCTGGAGGGCTCTCCCTGCCCCGAGCGCGGCTCTCCCCTGCCAGCCCGGCCTTTGCACCTGCCGGGGAGGGGGCGGCGCGGCGGAGGCCCCGGACGGCCCTCGGGCGGCGGTTGGCTGGCGGCGGAGCCATGCTAATGAGGCCGCCGCTTTAGGCCACCTGCCCGGCCGCCCGCCCGCCCGACCCACCGCCCGCCATGCCGCGCTCCTTCCTGGTCAAGAAGCCCTCCGGCAGCCGCCTCCCCGACTACGGCCAGCTGGAGACGCGCCGCCAAGGTAAGCGACGCCCGGCCGGGAGCTCAGACCGCCTCCGCCGGTCCCCGCTGCCTGCCTCGGGTTCCAGAGGACCCCGGGGCCGTCTGGAACGCAAGGCAGGCGAGGGGGACCGGTGCCGGGGTTGCTGGCCCCGCTCCTCCTCCCGGCCGAGCGGGAGCGGCTGCTGCGAGCCGCCTTTCGGGACGCCCCTTTCGGAGGCTCCCAGCGCCCGGCGAGCTGCGCGAGGCTGCGAGCCGCTGGAGTTGGCGCCGCTGCGCCTGCCCGTCCTCTCGGGGCTCGGAGGGGTCCCCGGCGGCGGCTCCCCCGAAGGCAGCGCCGCCCGGCCGCCCCGGAGCTCCTTCTTGGGGGGCGTTTCAGTCCCTGCCCCGGTGGGCAAGCCCGACGCGCCTCCCGCCGAGGAGAAGCGACCGCAGGCGGGGGTTTGTGCCGGGAGTTGGAGGAACTGGAGAAGAGCGAGGCGGCGGCGGCGGCGGCGGCGGCATCCCCCCCAACCCGCCTTACAAGCAGAGCGATCCAAAGTTCCCAATCAGGTTTAGGGAACTTCGGAAGTCGAGGCTGTTTCCCCTCTTAAACAAAAAGGGAAGATCGATTAATTAGGTAAATTAAGTGGTCCTACCACCCTTGGACCTGGTGGACATTCTTCCCCAGCTAGATCATCACCTCTGCACGTGCTCAGAGACAGCCTTCAGAAGAACGGCCCGTGCCTTGTGGCGCAGCCCACCGTGTCAGGACTGGTGATGCAGGCTACGGCACCTGAGATTGTTTTGTGAGTCTTTTTCTAGGTCGCGTTCCATTGCAGTTGCCATCGGTGGGCTTTTAACTCCCACTCCACCTCAATCAGCCACCAATGTCTAAAATGATCTTTTTCTGCGTTCCACTCTTTTATCATTTTCCTGTTGGATTTAGGCATGCGCTTTGTTTGTATTCTTAATTTATTCTACGTGTGTGTGTGTGTGTGTGTGTGTGTGTGTGTGTGTGTTAAAATTGGTGTCTGCCTGCAAAGAAACAAAATTGTTTTCCTGTTGTAATTTTCTTCTGATGGGTACCGAGCGCTCTTTAATTCAGCAGCAAGGGAATTCTGGAAAACTCAATGAAGCAGAACGAAAAAAAAAAATCAGGCATTTTTAAAAAAGTGATGCAGAGTTATGGGATTTGTGATGGCCAGGAGAGCTGGCGGTTCCAACTGAGTTTTCAAAGAGGAGGAGGGTTACGGAGGTTCCAAGAAAGGCTGGGTTTGATCTCTGCTTATTAGGCTACAGGCATGAAAGACTGGCTGGCTGTCCTGTGACCCCTAGCCTGGTGAAGATGGACCCTGGGGCTCTTATCCCCTCCCCCTTTTGAATGTAAATGTTTCCAAGAGGGCAGGCTGGGTGGCATTTACCCTTCACTTTTCCGTACCCTGGAAAAGAATGCAAATTCAGCTGGAATGTAGATTATTTTCCAATGTACCAGAGAGGGTGGGGTGGTGGTGGTGGCTGGAGTTATTTAAAATATTCCAAGTGCTTTCTCTTTGGTGTAAGATCCTGTTTGATGTATAATAGTCCTAAGAGGGACTTGAGAATATTGTGACAGGAGACGCCACCTTGGCTCATCCAAGCAAGGCTTCAACTGGGGGCATCCTCGCATTTTGGATTCTTACTTTTTAAAAAAGGCAACTCTTTGACCTTCAGGCATGCATGTTTCATGTGGTGGTTTATTATTCACCTTTGTTTTTTCACTTACCTGCAAAAATGTTCATCCGAGGAAGCCATGAGGAGAGGTGTCTGTTCCAAGGGGAGAGCCCTGGAAATGGGCTTTTGAATTAAAAGCACCACCCTTCGCTAAGGGAACCGCAGCCTTTGTCTTTCCTTCTTAGGGACAAAGCCAGGCGTACAGGCAGCGATAAGTTAAGCTAGGAAACAGCTTGCTTAGAATAAAAGAAGCAGAAACATTTTTCCCAGGAGTAGAGTTTACGAGATGTAAGGTGTTAGCAAAACTCTCCCAACTCCTGTTCAGCACCCTGGGCAGATGTTAGGATGGGCAGCCATTGACTTTGGCTAAGGCTTAAGCAGGATCAGACCTGACTGTGACTGTACTTAGATGGGAGAGCTATAATCTGTCTGGGAACATTACACTGCCTTCAGACGCTGCTGAGAGGCCAGAGCGTGTTTCTGAAATTGCAGGAGCCAAATGTGGTCTCCGTTTGCAAGCTGAGCAAGTTTCCATTTGCAAGTTTTTGTGCAGAGGGCTAAGGAGAAGCGTCTGGAGGTGTCTCGAAGGGAATACCACTTTGGTCAACTTCTTTCGTGTTGTTTCCATCCCCAGAATGCAACAGGCCAAGTCACACCTGGATGACATGTTCCTTTTCTATCCAGGATGCCACGCCGTGCCCATCCATACCCCATGAAGACAGCCCTCTGAGGAGCCACAGCTTTACTCCTGCAAGCCTCTCCCCCCCTCTTTTGCAGAGCCGGGAGGCAAAAGGGCAACTCGCCTTGAACCCCCAAAGTGGGGAAAGGGCCGGAGGCAGTCGGGGGTCAGCCACCCCTCTTCGGGATAACCCCAACAACCTCAATCTCCCGCCAGCCTTCTCCCTGCTCCCCTGGAGGACGTGCCCCAGTCTGGGTCACTTGGCAGAGGCAGAAGGACACCAACTGCCAGCCGAGCCTGGTGTGAGGACTGACCCCCTGGAGAGGTTCACATGCCTGGATTGCCACAAGCCCTACAGCACTTTCTCAGGCCTGGCCCGGCACCAGCAGCAGTGCTGCAAGCTGCAAGCCGCAGCAACAACCAGGTTCTTCAGCTGCAAATACTGCAACAAGGGGTACACCAGCTTGGGGGCTCTCAAGATGCACATCCGGACTCACACACTACCCTGCGTGTGCAAGATTTGTAGCAAAGCCTTTTCCCGGCCTTGGTTGCTACAGGGGCACATCCGGACACACACAGGTGAGGGGGAAATATCACAGGAAACAAGGGGAGAGGGCAAACGTCTAGGCAAGGCTGTATGTGCACCATAGTTGTCTTCTAGGAACCTAGGATAGCCTAAAACATGGGTGTCAAACTTACCGCGTCACGTGATGTGTTGCAACATATCACAACTTTTTTTGAATTGCCGGAACTGGGGTAGGCGCAGTCTCTGCATGATGCAACCAACCCATGGGCCAGCAGTTTGACACCCGTCCTAAAAGGTTGTTCTCTTTGCTGTGGCAGGCTTACAGTGGTCCTGCAGAGCAAATTCATCAAGAGAGTGGCCTATTCATCATCGCCTGATCTGCTTCTCCAGCTCAATATCTGACTGGATTCTTTGCCCTTCCCTGCAGGGCAGTCGGTGTCTATTCAGTAAAACCACCGGTTCTGCTAAATGGCATAAACCAAGTTTAAATTGTGGTTTTAAAAACAGATTCTAGGCTTGATCTGTAGTGAGAGTGAAAATCTGGGTTATGCTTTTGCCTTTTTTTTGATGGGGGGGTTGAAACTGAATTGTGCGTGTGACTAAAATCTGTGGTCACCAGAAACCTGCTACCCCTATAGCGATGTCACAATCACTGGCTAAATGAAAGATTTCTAGATAAGGCACAAATGTCTGGCTTCTCTTATCAACTAGGAGATTTTATTTTGCTTTATGGAGTGTTCCCCAGTTTGCAATATAGGGACCCATAATTGAGTATGTGGGCCTCTTTTTGCAAAACGTTCCCTGTCTTTGTAGTATTCTACAAAGAGTTATTCAGTGCATCCAAGTAGTTCTCAATTTACAACTATAATGGATCCTACCCATCACAGCTGTAGGTCATAAAACAGGTCACCTAAGTGACCAATCCAACTTACAACCTTTTTTTGCAGTGGTCATTAAACAAACTTATGGTTCTCTTTGGGCCAGTTTTGCTGAAAACCAGAAATAAATCCCATTCATTTTTCTTGGCAGTGATATAGGACAGGGTTTGCATGGCTTTTCAATTTTTCAGTCTGGTCTGGAACTCTGTGATCTCCTGATAGTGTTCCATCCAGATTCAAACCAGGTCTGATCCAGTTTAGCTCTACTCAGCTAACCAGGTGCTGCCATACATCTGATGGGCCCGTGCTGCCTTCATGGCATCCTGTGTCTTCCACAGCAGCTGCTTAGGAGCCAAAGCAGAAGAGAAGGACCTGCGGGCTTCCCAAATACATCCTGTGGGATTGAGGCAGTCTGATCAAGCCTTGGGGCTCAGCAGAGAATTTTATGTTGAAAAAAGGGATGGTTACATGGGTAAAGAATTTGCCTTGGTCCAATTAAGACGCTTCTAAATTCTGCATGCAGATCTTGCCATCCTGTTGGAAAATCACCTGGCTGCTCATTCTGCCTTCCCCAGTCTGTGCCTTTTGGAGGTGTGAGAACTCCAGAGGCTGCATCTGACTTCACTGGATGCATATTGAACATATTGTAAGGGTTAATTGATAAGCTACAGTACTTGGGAGCTGCATTCATGGGAGCTTCTGCCTTTTAATCCAGTGTGTTAGTCTGAAAAAGTATCTCCTGACTTCTTCTGATTTGGAGGTTGGCAGGGCCAGCGTTTCCACGCATCCCCTGCCCCTGTGTGCCCCATCTGGGCTCACCTGTCTGCCTTCCTTCCCAGGTGAAAAGCCCTATTCCTGCTCCCACTGCAGCCGAGCCTTTGCCGACCGCTCCAACCTCCGCGCCCACCTGCAGACTCACTCAGAGATCAAGAGGTATCAATGCTGCGCCTGCTCAAAGACCTTCTCCCGGATGTCGCTGCTTTTGCGGCACAAGGAGGCCGCATCCTGTGCCACGGCATCCTGAGGCTGGCAGAGAGAACATGGCTGTTCCTTAGCAGGAGAAGCTTCGGATGAGCAAAGAGCTGCAATCTGGAGGCTGGTTGCATCCTGCAGCAGGAGTCGCTTCTCTGACTGTGCGTACCTTTGCTCCAAATAAAGCAGTAAAAGAGTTGTGTCCTCAGCTGATTTTAAATTCCTTCTGTGAATTATTCTCCTCGTGTAAATCTACCCAAACAGCACGTCTGGGTGCGACAGCATCTTCTGGGATCCAGGATGGTTTAATTACTTGAGCATTAGAGTCCGTGTTCCCCAGCTGGCTTCCTTCCTAGCCCCAGGCTGGAGCTCAGAAACACAAATGCATTGTCTGCTTCGATCTGCTAGTCTTGGCATTAAAAGATGCTTGTCTCCCATTTCTGGCCTGAGTTTATTATGGCTTTTCTGGCTGCTGGGGGGGATCTCTCCCATCGTGACAGCTTCTTTGCAGGAGTGCACGGGAGGTCTACCTTGTTGCATGGAGTGGCAAAATGGGGGCCCTCTCTAACAAAGCCAGAGAAGGTGTTGCTTAGTAAGATCTTCTCTGCACAAGCCAAATCCACTCCAGGGAGAGGCAGCCCCTTCCCAGAATTCAGGGGGAACCCATGAGGGTCTTCCCAAAAGGTTAGAGGTTGAGTCTTCGTTGATTCTCCAGCAATCCTTCCCTCCTTTGCCCCTTTGGGTGGGGCAACCTGTCTGTCTCTGAAGATGGGGTTAAGCTAAGAAAAAGGAGACTAGATGAGCGTTAACACCAAATTTCAGGAAACTTTGAAACAGATCCATTAATGTTTTGAATGATCCCCGTTGGGGTTTTAATTGAATGCATAGGTGGGGCCAGCAGAGTGGGAAGTTTGGAGGAGTTAGGATGAAAAAAGGATCTTGGTTGACTAAACTGCATGTGGATATTTGCTGGTCTTCTTAGATGAAGTTTGTTTTTCTTTGTTTTTTCTGCCCTAAACTTCTTGGAAGGATCTGGTTGGCCTCTGCTGAAGGCAAAAAGTATTTATTTTATTCATTTCTGCCTGCCACTGTCGGCCTGCAGCGTATGTGTCCTGCTTCCCAGAGCATCCAAATTTGAACTGGTTGATTTTTTTGGGATATGTGCTGTGATCTTTCTATCTCTGGCACATACCTGCATAATCAACAGTATAAAAAGAAAATAAGCAGGTGACATTTTGCAGCTTCTCCTTTTCCTCTTCGTTTTCCTCTGAGCTGGTAGATTCTATGACTGGTGTCAGTTCTTACGCTCCTGGAGGGAATTTGCGTTCAAAGAGTCCCAGCTTGTGATTTCTCTGGTGCAGGAGTGAAGGGCACAGCAGAAGACACCCCCCCACAGCCCCTGAGGTGATCCCCAGGTTATCATTTTTAACGTGACGAGAGGCAATTTTTTAAAAAAATCTCACCAGTAATATTTAACATTTGCTATTTATTAGGCAAATAAAATGAAAGACCATGTTCATCATGCAACCAGGTTTTGGGGGTGTACCCTCCAATGGACTACTTCAAAACCAAATGGGCCCCAAAATCTGGAGAAAAATTCTGCACAATTTCTGCTCCCCGTGGAAAAGCTTCAGTGCAATTGGGAGTATGTTCTCCCCCCCCCCATGGCACCGTTTCCCCCATTTTTGACCCAGGAGAATATCTGGACCATTCCAATTGGTCTGTTGCTATCAAAGGGCTACCAAAGTGGGGGATGTTTGTACAACTTGTACACAGCAGTGAGGTCAGCCTGGCAGAGCAGGGAAGCAACAGGTATATTTATAGCCTTCCCTGTGGCCGGAGAGCATAAATAGGACTCAGAGATGCCTCAAGAAAGCTGCATTGTAAACTACGTGCTATTTTGAGCTGCAAAACTTCTAAAAGTGGCTCTTCCACCTGTTGTGGGGAGGGCTGGAGCAGGAAAGTATGTTGCTGCTTCTAAAATAAGCCAAATGTTTTTCCTTCTTACCTGCAGCAGATGGAAAGTGCTGATAAATATAGCAGCAGGGCAAAGGTGGGGGCTTGGGACCCCCACCTGCCAATCTGCCAGCAGAGAAGGGAATGTGAGTATCAGATGAATGAGTCCGTTTTTCCATCCTGCTTGGCCTGAAGCTGGGAATCACAGAAGGCACCATCTGGGCTCTTTTTTTTTTAATATATTTTATTGGTTTTTTAAATTTTAACAAAAAGTACTTAAATCACACCATGGTGTTTGGGTAAACAAACAGAGTAAAAAACATAGATAAACCGCTCATTCCTTCTTGGTCCACAAAAGCTGGCAGAGAAGAAAACTGGCTGAGGCCCTTTTCTCAGATCAAGCAGTCACAGTAAAAAAAAGCTTGTTTGCATTTGGAGTGATTTCTGCTCAGCTCTCTCCCCAAAGTCTGTCTGCCTTACTGGGGCAAAGATGGCTGGGATTGTAGAAAGTCCTGGGTTCAAACTCCAACTCTGCACAGCTATTAGGGCTCATCTACTTAAATAATGTTTATAGCTTAGGGTTGAAATGAAGGGGCCGGGGTGGTCTGTGAGCTTGGTGGTTTTCTTGCAGACGTTTCAGTACCAAACTAGCAGCTTCATTCACATACTGTAGCGTAACATGTGAAGTTTATTACATTGTTGGGTGGTTTTGTTTTGATCAGGGTTGGTCTGATGTATAAATTCTCTCTTTTTGGTTGGACTATAATTCAGTGCATAGAGATTGACTGATTGCACGCCATCAAGTCTTTGTCAATTCTCAGTGAATGCGTAGATAGATTTTCTGCGTGAGGATTTGTTCCCAATCTGGTTCTTTAGGTCTTCCAACAGTAGTTTATAGCGTATAAACAGTACTTGGAATAAATATGGTAAGTATGCTGTACAAACCAATTGTTGATTGATGAAGACATAGATACAATCCCATTTCAATTCACAATGATAGGATAAAACAATGTAAGATTGCTTTCTGAAGCCCTAGGTTTTTTAAAAATAGGTTTCTCACCCAAGAAAAAGTATTTCTGCATTACAGGAGTGGATTTTGTGGTTAGGAATTGGATACAAACTCAGGGAGGAAGTGATAATGATATAAACATGCTTATTTTATTCTTTTATTTATTCAATTTCTATAGCCGTCCATCTCAAGCGAGTGACTTTTATTGTGTTTTGGTGTAAATGGATGGCCATATCAATACAGAACTTGTCCCTTTGGAAATTATTCTTCTCTAAAATCTTCCTGCTGTTCCCAACGAGGCTGGTTGAAGGGGAAATGGAGGATCTGCACTCTGGGACGAGATAACAAGGCAGGCCCTGATATTATTGGGGAGTGGGGGACATGTCTCCCGTCTAAGAAAAGTGCAGTGACCTTAATTTAAAGGTACACCGAGTGTAGCTTTGAAACAGGAGAGGAGGAGGGTTGGATTATGGGTGCCGAGATCTCTCCAGCTCCAGTTTCTTTTTCCCATGACAAGTGGAAAAGCAGCCCTCCCTCTTAAATGCCAGCCCCCAGAAATAGCCCTCCCCGCCTCTGGCTGAGGAAGTCGCTCCGGCCCCGGGGCCAAGCAGAGCAGAAATAGTCCGGCTCTTTCTATCTATACCGGCTTGGCCGGCAGGGCGGACTATCTATAGCTGGCCGGGCGCCCCGCGTGGAAGCGAGCCCTGGCCCGCCTGGGTGATGCTCGCGCCGGGGATGCCAAGCAGGTGGAAAGACCGCGGGGGGGGGAGAGCTGCCCTCTACTGTGAGGCTCCTGGTCCTCCACAGGTGGCTCCGCAGGTTGGCGCCTCGCGTGGGCGGGCCGGGACCCGGGGTGCCCCACGCGGACCCCCTCGCGGGGGAGGAGGGAAAAACAGACGTGGGTAGCCTTGAGAAGGGAGGGAAGGGCACGGCTGCGTTGCCCGCTCGTCCCCGCGGGAAATGCCGCTCAGGGTCCCCTCTGGAAGAGCCCCGCGGAAGGAGGGTTCACAAAAGCGGAATGTCCACGTGGAGATTCTTGGTCATCAGCTCATGGTTGTCCGAAGGGTGCTTCTTCCAAAGGCAACTGGACTTTCTTGTTTTTTTGCCCTTGAAAATGCTACTCACCCAAGAAGCTGCAGGTTGCAAGAACTGAAGAAGCTTCTTAGGTGAGAAGCAAAACGTTTTCAAGGAAATCCCAATAAAGTCCAGTTGCCTTTTGGGACAAAAAGCGGAAAGAAGGCAAAGTCCCAAAAGTGCTTTTCCCAAAAGGCAGTTGGACTTTCTGGTTTTCCCCTTGAAGACGTTTCGCTTCTCACCCAAGGAGCTTCTTCAGCTCTGACTGGACGGTGGGGAGTGGAAGCAGCAGCTTCTTGGATGGGAAGCGAAACGTTTTCAAAGAAAAACCAAGGAAGCCCTGTTGCCGTTTGGGGGAAAAAGCACCTTTGGGACAACCGGGACCCGGAGGGTCGCCGTAGGCGAGGGAGGCGCGGGGAGCGGGCGACGAGGTCCACCTGCTGCGCCTCGCCGCCCTGCAAAGGCGCTTCCAGCCGCTTTCGGAGCGCTGCCTCGGACTGGGAAGTCGGCGGGTCCCCCAACAGCCCCCGCGGCGCCAGGCAAGCTCCCCACCCGGCTGCGGGTCTCCGCCAGCCAGACGCCCGAGGAACCTGCCCGCTGCGCCGGAGGGGCGGAGGAAAGGAGCCCTGCCGGGGAGGACGCAACGGAGCATGCGCGCGCGGGGAACCTGCCTCTCGGGCCCCGGTGCCTCTCGGGAAGCCGCCCGAGTGGGAAACTCGTCCAGCTCCGAGGCGGCCGCGAAGGTTCCGGCTGCGATGAGGCGAGCCGGAGGCCCCATCGTCCGACGCGCTCCGATTGGCTGAGAGCAGCGACCGGAGGGGGTGGGGAGCGCACTGATTGGGCGGCGCGGCCCCAACCGGAGCGGCACGAGCCAATGGTGGGCGAGGGGCGTGTCATTTGCTTCGGCGGAGGCACGTGTGGGGGAGGAGGCGGGGGGAGAGCCGGGCGCCGCTCCCAGTAAGGGCGGACTGGGCGGACTGGGAGGGGAGCGGGAGCGCTGGGCAGGCCGGTTTTGGGTCCTGCTGAGGAGCAGAGCGGCGGCCGGAGCAACCAGCGGGTGTCCCCTGCAGGCGTCGCACCATGAGTCCGCCCGTGGCCGGAGAGAAGCGCCCGGCTCTGGTCACCTGCACAGCGCCTGTCAACATCGCGGTGGTCAAGTACTGTGAGTAGCGCAGTGGAACCCGCGAAGGCTCCGGATAAGGTTTTGCAGGAGGGCTGGTTGCGATCAAGGGGGCTGGGATGGGAGACCATCAGGAGATCCCCCCAGTCAAAGCTGTAGATGAGACCAGAAGGTGGAAACGCAGCCTGGAAGGGGGGGGGGTGTCGAGAGCTCCCCAAGAGACTTTTGCTGTTGGTATGATGAAAAATGTCTCCCTGCAGGAAAGGGGGGGGGGGCTGGGAAAACCAAAGAGGAGAGAATCCAGGGCCAGGAAGAGCAAGGAGAGAGAATGGATGATGTGGCAATTTTGTTCCCCCAAAATAAAATGAGCCTCCTTGAAGAAGCCTTAAAGGGTGGAATTGCTTTTACAAACACAGGCGCCAAATAAAAATAGGGAGAAACTGGTATTTGGGGCTGTAATCTTCTATACCTTCCTAGAATAATTGGCTAGATTAATTGGCTAGAGGGAGATGGGTGCCCAGTTTAAATGAACCAGGTTGAAGTTCTCTGCCTTTTTATTTAGGAGCAGATCCACTGAGTATTTGTTGAATGTACCTATAAACTATGAAGCAATATGTGGAAGACTGAGTTTTCCATGGTAAACCCAGCCACCCACTCTGGCAACCAAATCAATAAATCAGGAGAAGGAGGAAGATCCTCCACAAATAAATATAGGTTTGTCTGCAAGCTGTAATTAAAGTCCACCCTGCTGGCAGCCGAGAAAACAGGTTGGGACAGTTCTGTCCATCCCCCAATTTATGAGGTTCTCCAACTACAGCATATTCAGCGACCTGCCCTGCAGTGCTCAATTTATCACCCCCAGTTGAAGCCATGTCCTTCTTTTGTCATCCAGGGGGGAAACGTGATGAAAAGCTGATCCTGCCTATTAATTCATCCCTCAGCATTACCCTGCACCAAGATCAGGTTGGTCCCGGATTGTCACAAGTGACCCGTTTAGTTTTGGTTGACCGATTTCTGCCTGCAGATTGAAGGTGGTAGAAGGAAGCTCTGTGGCCTTAGGACAATTTTAAACCTCCTTAAAAGCTGCAGTTGTAACTGAAAATATTGTTAAGGCTGCTTCTGCTATTTGTTCCTAGTTCATTTCTGCGCTTTGGCTGTCATATTGTTGTGATTGCCACTTTGATTAATGTTTGGAAGCAAGTGATAGATCCCCTCACTAATGTGCAATCAGAAGAGATCCAGTGACTTAATGGGATAATCCAGTGAGAGCCCCAGGATGCTTAGTAGGCTTACTCACAGTTGTGACCCACCTGCCTTCTGTTGTTCTGTTCCAGCTAAAAACGACCACCACAGCCGCCTTCAGCCGAGACTTTGTGGAAGACCGTCTCTGGCTGAACGGGGAGCCGGCCGATATCGGGCACCCCCGTCTCCAGTCTTGCCTGCGGGAAAGTAAGTGCAGGGTCGCCCAGCCTGGGTTCTGTCAGGCGCCACCGAGACATTTTAACTCTCTTTTGATGCTCTGTTGCTAAAAGAGGGAAGAACGACTTGGCAGCCTTTCTCTGTGGAGTTCAGGGGCCTCTTTTGGCTTATCTGCTAGGCTTAAATGTTTCAAAGCCATTCTGCATTTCAGTGGGGTGGAAAGAGAAGTCTGTACAGCCAAAGAATTCATGACGTTTCTGATGCTTTGTTTTGAAGGGCTGAACTCAGGTGAGCAGTGCAGGTTTCTTTTACCCCTGAGGACTTTCAGTGAACATGGAAACGGATTTCAGCCCCGGGATGGATGGCTGGGTAGCCTGGAGCTGCCTTGCTTTAGATAGCAGATAGTGATGCCGTATAATTGGAGGTTTTTGTTATGAATAATATTTTTTATTCTCTCTATAGTAACGTAACTTTATTCTAGTCTTGGACCAGTTCAGACCCCTCCCTCCATAGGAAAGGGAGATATGGAGGGTAATAGTTGCTAGGAGAGACCCAGCATGGAGCAAATGTTTAACCATGGTTGTGAGAAATTCCCCAGCCAATAATAGGCTTCACCCAGACCCAAAACAGAGCTGTCCATTTCTGCCTCTTGCCCCGGACCTTATGTTCTTCTCTCTGTCTCTTTCTCAGTCCGTCGTCTGGCTAGGAAGCGCCATGGCGAGAGCAGTGGGGGTGATGAGGGGGACCCGCTTCCCCTGAGCTACAAAGTCCACATAGCCTCAGAGAACAATTTTCCCACTGCAGCGGGCCTGGCCTCTTCTGCTGCTGGCTATGCTTGCCTGGGTAAGTGAAGCTGGTCCGAGTGGGGCCCTGCGGATCCCTTTCTCAAGGGCTGCCACGGCCAGTTCCGGGATGAGGATTATCTAACCTGGGCTGGACTGCAACTCCCATATGCCACAGCCAGTCTGCCCAGGACAAGAATTTGGGGAGTTTCTGCCCCAAGCCTCCTAAGGGTGCGGCCCCTGGGAAATTCTGCTGCGGAACTGGCTGCCCTCTCACTTCCTTTCCAGTCTACACCCTGGCCCGGCTCTATGGTGTGGAGGGGGATCTGTCCGAAATTGCTCGCCAGGGCTCTGGGAGCGCCTGTCGAAGTATGTTTGGAGGCTTCGTGCAGTGGGTGATGGGGGACGATGCTGATGGCAAAGACAGTGTGGCCCAACAGGTGGCGCCAGAGACGCACTGGCCGGAGCTGCGGGTCTTGATTCTGGTGGTGAGTCAAGGGTCTTCGTTACGGAAATTGTGGCTGTCTAGTAGTTGGGCTGGCCCAGTTGCCAGGAGGTGGGGGAGGTAGAAGGTCTCTTCTGCAGGACTGAGCTGCAGGTGCTTCCTGTGGAGCCCCCCCATTGCTCCTCTTCCTCCCCTATGGCAGGTGAGTGCGGAGAAGAAAGTGGTGGGCAGCACAGCCGGAATGCAGACCAGCGTGAAGACCAGCCGCTTGTTGAAGGTAGGAGATGTGACTGCCCGGTCACATAACCCCCCCTCCCCACATGTCCCTGTTGGCACCTTTCCCAGCTCCCTGCCTTCCTTCCGCCCCATCGGCACCCCCGGAGATGCCCTGCGTGGGTGACACAGTCCTTTTCTGATGCCGATGTGGATTTTAGCACCTCAGGCAAATGGCTTCTCTCCACTGTTCAGATAAACCCAAACGGGGAAATCAAGGAAGCCCAAACTGCAGTCCACCCCATCCAGTTGCTTCATTTGCAGCAGTTGCAACTAATCAGCTTGAATGTACAGGGAGCCCTTGACTTACGACCACTTGCTTAGTGACGCTCAAAGTTACGGCACTGAAAAAAATGTTTTATGACCCTGCCCTTATGACCTTATAAAATTGTGACTCACTTAACTGCTTCTCTTAGCAACGGAAATTCTCATCCGAATGGTGGTCGTAAGTCAAGGACTACATGGTTTGGTCAGCCCTAGAAGAGCCTGAAGGACGAAGACGCTCCGTCGCTTCCCTGGGCTCAGTTTTGAGGGAATCTTGGCCTCTTCCCTTCCAAGCGATGCTCTGATCACCAGAAGACCCACTGACCCCCGAGCTACCCCCCCCCCCCCCGTTCTCCACTTCTAGCACCGGGCCGAGGCCGTGGTCCCAGAGCGCATGGTCCAGATGATTCACCACATCCAGCAGAGGGATTTTGAGGCTTTTGGTCAGCTCACCATGAAGGACAGCAACCAGTTCCACGCCATCTGCTTGGACACCTTCCCGCCCATCTTCTACCTCAGCGACACCTCCAAGCAAGTGATTGCCCTGGTGCACCGCTTCAATGCCCACCACGGGAAGACTAAAGTAGGTGGGGGCTGCAGCGTCAGGGGTGGGGTGAGGGGGCCCCTTCGTGCAGGCTGGCAATTCTCATCTTCGGCCAGCTGGTCAAAGGATCAAATCAAATTGATTCAAATACTTTATTTGGCCAAATGTGATTGGACACACAAGGAATTTGCCTCTGGTACAGAAGCTCTCAGTGTACATGCAAACCAGCAGAATCAGCAGCCTCATCCCAATAAAAGGGGGAGTATAAAAGATTATAATGAGGATAAATAATACTACAGCCATACAATGGGTAAATACATATAGACATTAGACAGCACTGTCTAATATCTGTGTGTATTCTGCATATATTTACACAAGGATTATGGCTGGGGAAAATATTTCTATCTACATTTTATCCTTTTCCGACCTTTTCTGACAGGTGGCCTATACGTTCGATGCCGGTCCCAACGCCGTCCTTTTCCTGCTAGATGAGACGCTGGAGGAATTTGTGGAGGTGGTCAAACGCAGCTTCCCCCCCAAGAGTAACGGAGACCAGTGAGTCAGCCCAGATTGGCTGCTTACCTGGGAAGTCAGAGCAAATCCCACTGAAAGCAGTCCCCATTTAAAAAGAAAAAGTGGCAGAAGCTTGCTTATAATCCCTCCTACAAGTGCTTGTGGTTATTCCCCCGTCTGACATTTTTGCACTAAACAATTTATTTCTTGATATTTGAAAAGATTTCTTCCTCAGGAGGGCCACCCCAAATACTCCTGGCAGAAAACTGCTCTATGCTAAAAATATTAATTCATAGTACTGGTGCAATATATATAATTTGTTAATTCTATAGTCACTCACCTGTTAAACCAATAATCAAGTGACGTGTGCTGAAAATCGTGGAGAAAACACATTTAATTTTGGTAATCAGGAGTCTTCAAAACTAGCCAGAGGCAGCTTGTGGGAGACCCCAAAAGGACAGATTCTGTTAGAAAATAGATGTTGAGGGATTTGGCTTCTTTGAAGCCATTCGTAAATATCAAAAGGCTGCTTTCTTCAGTAAAATGTTCTTCAGGTTTTGCCACCTTGTTTTTGGCTCCTTTGGCCCCATCTCTTTTCTCTTTAATCATTTATTTATTATTAGATTTATATGCTTCCCATCTCACTGTCCAAAGCAACTGGGGCGGCTTACAATAACACACACACACACACAGTATAAAAAAACATTAACATTAAAATGAGCTGAGGTGGCGCAGCAGTTAGAGTGCAGTACTGCAGGCCACTTTAGCTGACTGTGTTCAGCAGGTCAGCAGTTCAAATCTCACCGGCTCAAGGTTGACTCAGCCTTCCATCCTTCCGGGGTAGGTAAAATGAGGACCCAGATGGTTGGGGGCAATGTATAATATATATATATATATATATATATATATATATATATATATATATGTAGGTCTTTGGTTGTTCGGGTTTTCTCCCACGTAAAATTGGAAGTGTCTTGGCGACGTTTCAACGAAGTCCCATTCGTCATCTTCAGGCTGGTGCTTTCAGCTTCGTGCCTCGAGCTGCTCGAGGCACGAAGCTGAAAGCACCAGCCTGAAGATGACGAATGGGACTTCGTCGAAACGTCGCCAAGACACTTCCAATTTTACGTGGGAGAAAACCGAAAACCAAAGACCTACATACAAATACCCGCGAAAACCTCAGAAAACATATATATTATATATATATATATATATATATATATATATATATATATATATACATACATACATACATACATACATACATACACACACACACATTGCTTACTGGTGTACACTGCTTAGAGAGTGCTTGCACTTAAAGCGGTATATAAGTCTCATAAATAAATAAACACACACACACACACACAGTATAAAAAAACATTAACAGGAATTAAAATTTTCCTTACGCAGGTCAGGATGGCCACACATTTTAACCTTCATCCTCTCCTCTTAGGTTTCTCAAAGGTCTTTCCGTGAAGGCAGCGAGTCCCTCGGAGGAGCTGCTGGCGGAGGTGGTTCGGGATCCTATCCCAGGCGCCATCCGGTACCTGCTGATCACCAAGGTGGGTTCTTAGCTGGTGGCTGCCAAGGGGCATCCAACACGAGGGCACCCTCCCTGCCAGCTTTCCCTGAAGGTCTGCCAGGTGTTGGGGGAAGAGGCAGGTAGAGAGGGGGCTTCCTTTCCCAGCCTGACAGATTTCCATTTTATCCGTTCTTTATTGAGCCTCGGGGTGAGATTTGAGGGGTCCTTGTGCCCTTGTTTTCTTGCAGACGTTTCATTACCAAACTAGTTAACATCATCAGTGCTGTAAGCTAGTGGAGTTTGCTGTCAGTACTCCTTATAGCTCTGATGATGTTACCTAGTTTGGGTCATGCAAAGTCTCCAAGGAAGCCACCAAGCTCAAGAGACCACTAAGGACCGCCTCATTTCCACCCTGAGCTACAACTATTCTCCTTTGTTGGGATGAGGTTTCTCTGGAGGCATCATTTTAAGTGATTTTAACTTCCTTCTGGGAAAGAAACGAGAGAGAAGCCAGTTTCCCTCCAAATGCTGCTGTTGACTTTTCATCCAGAGCAGCATTCCTGCCCTCTTTTCTTGCTGATTGATTCTGCAAAGAAAAACAAATATTTGCCTGCACTTAAAACCCTTGGAACCCATGGGATGAAGTGTGGCCCAGGTATGGGGTTAGGCTCCCGTTTTTTAAAATCTACTTCCAGGTGTGTTAACCAGGATGCCCTCAGCAATTGTCCTTGTCGGTCACCCCAACATTTGGGAGGTCTTATTCTTTTGGCCTAATGATCAGCCCCCCTGCCCCCCCCAAGATCTGACCATTTAAATACAGAAATAAAAATAACGAAACCTTGCAGAAGGTGTTTGGGTATTTATTTGGAACTGCTTTTTTCACTGCTTCAGTCACTGTTCAGATAGATAACAGTCATTAAATATTATCAATATATCAAACAATAAAATGCAACTGACAGTTATAGCATTCTTTCCCCTAGCACTTTCTTCCCCTGCCTTGCTGTTTCACTTATTCCCCTTTTGTTTTTTCTCTTGGTTCAGCCTGGCCCAGGACCATCAGTTGTGGATGATGGGAGCTGCCATCTCCTGGGGGAAGACGGGATGCCAGGAAGCAGCAGCTGAGCCAAGAGCAGCTCCTCTCTGGGGCTGCCCCAGAGCCAGCCAGTTGGAGGGGGGGGGGGAGAGGCCTGGCTGACAGTCGCTTCTTGCTGGGCGCAAAAGGGATAATTTTTGAGGGTCCTTTCCTGTCCTCATCACCTGTTTCGTACTCTGCTTTTTGATTCGGCACCTTGAGTCTTGTGGACGTCCCTGGCCCATAACTATTGATACAAATTAATAACCTTCAGTTTCTTTGATACGGTTTTATTATTAAGAGAGGTTAATAATAAATGAGATATTCTGCGTGGCTCTCTCTGGAAGCTTGTCTCAGCTGTGGACAGGACAGCCTGGGTTTCTTGGCCCAGCCTTTCTTCCTTCCATATCATTCTCTGGATTTACATGGTGTCTTCCTCTGTCCCCAAAGTAAAAAGGGGGGTAACCATTTTTAAAAGATGTTGCATAAAGCAAACTTACAAATTAGAGAAAAGAGAAAAGTTGTAGGATTTAGAAAAAAAAAAACATTGTTCAAACTCTTCAGAAAGCAACATTAAATGTGCTTTCGCTCTCTCCCTGCCCAAATCCACCTGCAAACCCCCCCATCCCCCACTAAGAAGGGGAGGGCCCGAAGTAATCTGAAGAACAATCTAGGAAAAGGTGGCTGACACTGAAAGGAAGGGCCAGAGTGGAATCATGGCAGGAGGGCACCCTAAAGTCCAACCTTGGTAACTTTAAGACCTGTGGACTTCAATTCCCAGAATTCCGCAGTCGTCATGTGCTGGCTGGGGAATTCTGGGAACTGAAGTCCTCAAGTCTTAAAAGTCGCCACGGTTGGAGACCCCTGCCCTAAAGAACCCAGACCAGGTTCATCGGAGCCCCCCTCCAGCCTTGCCCAACCCAGGGGGAAGTAGGACCCCCTTGCACTCAGCAGGGCGGGGGGCCCTTCGCACAGAATCCGGGTCTTCAGGGATGCTTTCGAGGCAGCGAAGCCTCTTTGCGCCTCGCTGTGAAATCGAGGCGGGGGGGGGGCGCTTCCCCTGCAGATCAGCCGCGGATGCTCCGCTTTCCGGCCGCCGTTTCTTCCAGCTTTTCACCCCAAGCCAAGGCGGGGAGCAGAGGGCCGTCCGGGCTTTCCCGGAACCCCTTCCCAGCGCCGGGGCGACCTCCAAGCGGGGGGAGCCGCCCGGCCTGCCCGCGAGCAGCGGGAGGAGGAAAGTCCCCGGGGCGTTGCTGGCTCGGCCGCCGGAGGAGGAGCAGGAAGGACGTAGCCGGGACCCCCCGCCTCCCCCCTCCGCCCAGCCTCCCCGCCCGGCTGAGTTGCGGCGGCGGCGCGATGGGGCGCATCGAGTGGGCCATGTGGGCGAACGAGCAGGCGCTGGCCGCCGGGCTGAGTGAGTCTGGCGGGGACGGAGAGGGGTGGGCGGCGGGTGGCTTTCCCCCCCCTCCCAACGGCTGGGATCTTGGCGCTTTCTCTCGCTTCACCCCCCCCTCCCGTCTTTCTTTCGCGACAGAGTTTCGAAACTTGGCTACCAAGTCCCCCCCCCGGGGGGGGGGTAAAGGTTGGGGGGATTTAGAACAGGAAGGTGAATGGAAAGAGGGGTGGGGAGGGTCCCCCCGTCTCCCTCCAGGCCTTGGGCTCTCGTTCCCATGATCCCTGACCCTCAGCCATGGCAGATGGGAATTGGAGTCCAGCCACACTTGGATGGAGGCAGGTTCGACCGAAATGAGTGGTCCCGGTGGCTTTGCTTAAAGATGCAACTCTCCCTCCCCCCCCCCGTGTGTGTGTGTGTGTGTGTGTGCGTGCGAGAGAGGGAGAGAGAGCGAGAGGTCCAGGTGCGGCCACAATTTCCTTTCCTGCGAGCTGCCTGGGATGTTCGGCCCTTGGCTTTCGCAGCCGGCAGAGAGAGCGGAAAGCATCCTTGGCGGTCGCCCCTGACCCCCAGCGCCTTCCCCCCATCTTCCCCCCTTGTAGTAACGGGGGAGGGAAGAGGGCCCCCTCCCTGCCGTTCAGCACTCGCCCCTGCCCTGCTTTCGGTTGCGAGAGACAGGAGGAAGTGGAACCAGGGAAAATGAGGGGAAAGAAGCTCGGAAGAAGAAGGCGGCCATTGCTGGGGCGAGATCGGCACATCCTCCTGGCCTTCGGCTCTCCTTCTGGGCACTGGCCTCTCGGGCGCCGAACTTCCTTGGGAGATGGGAAAGGGGGACATAAAACTTCTTTTTTTTAATCCCAAAAGAATGATCCTGCCCTGCCCACTTTCCCTCACGGCTCAGCTTCACAGGTTATCACCAGAAAGTTGCCCGAGTGAGCCATGGGGCAGGCGGTCAGCCCACTGTTCCCTTGTTAATGCAACCGATGAAATATTAGGTCAGAATCCACCAAATATTCCCCCAAAGGAGAGCGGTAGTCCCAAAGACTCTCTTTTGAAGGAACATTCCTTGAAAACCTAAAAATCATTCTGTCCACGGGGGGGGGGACGTTTCTGGTCCAGCCTGAGTGATGAACTGGACAGTCTTGTTGACCCCCTTTGGCCCAGGCGAGTGGAGGGGAGCTCAGCCAAGCACTGGGCCACGAGAACAACCTGCGCATGGCCTCCCTGTTGAACCTCCACATGAGGAGGCAGGGTGGGGCTGCTCATGGGGGTGGCAGCTTTCACTTCTCTCTTTTGAGTTCTTCCTCCTTGAAAGAGGGTGGGGTGCAAGCAAAGCAGCTGCCTGCACTGGATCCTAACACCACAGGAAAAGGGGAGAAAAAACCCCAGGCCGGTCCAGGATCCTGATGCTTCTAGGAATTTGAACCCCCCAGGAAGGCGCAGGCACATCCCACCCTTCTGTGCCTACAACTGAATGTTGCAGCACAGGGTATCAGCGTCGCCCTTTGCCAAGATACTCTGCTGTGTTTTATCCCTCTTCCCACCCTCTGTCCTTTAGCATCATGGGACAGGGGGCACTTGGCTCTTTGGAGGAGGAGGATGGGGGCTGGAGTCCCTCCCGCTAAGGGTGCCACGCTGGGAAAGGGCTGCTCTGCTTGCATGTTGGACCTACCGGAGCCTGTCGGGAATCCAGATGCTTCTGGATGGCATAGAATGCGTGAGAATGTTGCCCCTGCATGTTATTGTTGCCCAGCAGCTGCACTTCGCAGCAACCTGCCTCTTCCCTAAAGGAATTCTGGGAAAAAGTGGGAACTTCTCTTTGTGCAGCTTCAGGTTGCAAATCTGCTGTGCTTAGCAGGTTACAGGCAGCCCCCGGCTCACGTATGACCATTGCAGCCTCCCTGGGGTCACGTGATCAAAATTCAGATGTTGGGCAACCGATTCCTATTTATGACAGTTGCAGCGTTCTGAGGTCATGTGACCTCCTTTTGTGACCTTCTGACAAGCAAAGCCAGTGGGGGACCCAGGTTCACTGAACTGTTTTACGAACTTAACAACTGCAGTGATTCACTTAACAAGTGTTGCCAGAAAGATCATGAAATGAGGCAAAACTCATGTAATAACTGTCCCACTTAGCAACAGAAATTTTGGGCTCATTGTGGTTGTAAGTTAAGCACTGCCTGTACATCTGTTCCTTTTTACCCACAAGGTGATTAAAAGCAGGGTTAAACATGTTTATCCACAACGTTCCTCTTCAGTTGCCAACAAAGTTCTGCCGTTTCACATGGGCTCCGGAGTTGACGCAAGTTCCCAGTTTGCTTAATTCTGGATCTGAAAAGTGCATTGTGGATAGAAAATGAATAATCATAAACAAAATGATTTCTCTCTCTCTCTCTCTCTCTTTTAGTTTTAGTGACCGGTGGTATCGTGGCTGTTTCAGGCCAATTCAAAATGTGGGAGATTGCAGTTTATGCAATGTATCCTTTTGTGAAAATATGCTAATTGTATAAATTCTATTCCCCTTCTAGGACAAATAACACCTGGATTGCCTATATCTATTTTAAAACGATATCCATGTTAAAAGGAGTCTGAACTTAACGTTCTGCCTTAGTCATGAAAGCCAATTGGGTGACTTTGGGCCAGTCTCTCTCTCTCAGCTTAACCTACCTCACAGGGTTGTTCTTGTGGGGAAAATAGGAGAAGAAACTTACGTTGGATATATTTGCTGCCTTGAGTTATTTGAAAAATAAGGCGGGATACAAATAAATATTCAATATGGGGACTCAATGATGATTGGGTTCCAAGACAGAAAGTAGAAAAATTAGGGAAGCTTAGGCGGCTTTGCTTCTTGCAGCATCTGATTGCAAAATTTGGAATGTTTGTGGTTGAAGAATTTGGAAATGTTGTGGCTGTGAGTAGGATGGAAGAGTGAAGGTCAGGTCCTGTTTGCCAAACAGGGTCCAGGAAATTGCATCTTGCCTGTTCCCGGTCACTCTGCTCTCCGGGGTTTTCTGCAAAGCTTCAGAGAGGAAGAAGAGGGATAAAGGCGAGGCCAGCAGGAACACAGACAGATCACGAAGGAAGGAGCCCACATTGGTGATTTCACCCCCGGGGGCTAAAGCCGGGGTTTGTGAAAGAACACGCAAGAATCTGGGCATCACCGACAGGACTGAATTCACCCAATTTTACCCAGTCTGGAGCCACTGTGGATTTTTAGAGGGGCAAATACAGGCTTGATGATCAGCCACAGTCTTTGGGAATGTTTTTGCAATGATTACTTCTCTCAGTTTCCAAAAGAAAAAAATAATAATCAAAGAATGCTTCTTCCCGGATATGCTGGTAGAAGGTCGGTCTCTTTGGCCCCCAACAGAGAGCACCCAAAATCATGCCAGGATTTAGGTCCCAGGTGTCTATACTGCTCAGCCAACCCACCCTAGCCAGCCTTGTTAGAGGGCCCACTTTCCATCTCCCCCCCCCCGAGGTGTTCTTAATCCGGTCTTTGGATGGGGGGAGGGCAATGGGCCTTATTTACTTCTTATTATTTCTTAAATTTGTTTGCTGTCCATCTTGCTTTGATGGGATTCCCCCCTCTCGCTGCCTGGTTCATCTCCCTAAGATTTTTCTCTCTTCCTTGTGTTTCTCCCATACTGGGGATGGCATGGACCCCGGCCGGTGGTAAATGTACTCTCACTGTTGTACCACCCCTGGGCCTGACCTTTCTTAAATTGCACGTTGACTCGTCTCAGCCCCAGATGCCCCCTCCTCCTGCCTAAAATTGGCTGCCTGTGGTTGTTTCTTGTCTTTCTTTGTCTCTGCCTGTCTCTGCTGTCTTGGAGAAGCCTTAAAAATAATCCTTATTTTTGTCCTTAACCTTTTTGTCTAAAGAGTGGCGGGAGTGTTTGTTTGCTTTTTGGAGTATCCCCGAGGAAAAAGGAAAAAGGGATCTACTCTAGAGAGATGGTGAGTGTTGCATTTCTTGATTTTGTGAGGAGGACCCTCAATTGGAGACCTGGTGCTGGGCGCAGAACTCAGCCTGCTGGGAAGCACAGCTTTCCCTAAAACAAAGACGAAGCCTCTGCGGGAAATCAGTGGTTCTCAACCTGTGGGTCAGGACCCCATTTGGGGTCAAATGACCATTTCACGGGGGTCGCCAAACCACGCTGTCCGCCATTTTTTCCCTTTTCCCTAGCTGTCCTACTCCCTCTTATTGGTGGCCACACCCACTTGGGGGTCACCACAACATGGGGAACTGTATTATAGGGTCACGGCATTAGAAAGGTTGAGAACCACTGCTCTACGTAGTCTTCATGCTGTAAATCAGGGATGTCATATTAGGGATTGAACAGAGAGATGTGATTATTCTCTGCGCCTCCCTGTTGCTAATACTTAGAGGGTAAACTATGTAAATGGAGGGTGGCCAGATCGATCTGGATCTTTTTGAAAGGAGGAGTTGGGGGACTCTACAAGGTGAGATTAGTTGGCATTTTGCCTAGCCTATGGCAAGAGAAGAAGGGACAGATGGAAACTAATCAAGGAGAGAAGCAATCTGGAATTAAGGAGAAACTTCCTAACAATGAGAACAATCAACCAGTGGAACAGAAATTGCCTTCAGAAATCGTAGGCGCTCCATCACTGGAGGTCTTTAAGAAGAGATTGTCTGAAATGGTTGGTATAGGTCTCCTGCTTTAGCAGGTGGTTGGACTAGAAGACCTCCAAGGTCCCTTCCAATGCTGGTGTTCTGATATTATTCTGAATCTGTGTTCAGAACTAATAAATGCATGGAAAAGGATGTCCTTTTCTGAGTGTCACAGAACGCTTCTTCCCTTGAACACGGCATCTAACTCTGTGCTTTCTTCTTTGGCTGTCTCTTTATTCTGATTTCCCGCAGTGGCCAGAAGTATTTCACAGCTGCTGTGAAGACCTGTGGACCTCTAACTAGGAATTATTATGTCCGGGCTGTTCTCCACGCATGGTAATTCACGTCACGACCATTTTCAGACTCGGGCACAACCACAAACCCAGGGCAGGATTTTCAGCAGCCGCTTCTCCTGCTCAGGGTTTCAGGCTGTGGAGGTGAAGGTGAAGGAGGGCAAAGATATTCACAGATGGTCCTCGACTCACGGCTGGTGGTTTAGCAACAATTTGAAGTTACAATGGACCCCCTCAAAAGCTATTTATGACCCAGTTTTGAAGTTACGACGTCTGCCTCTCCCCATGGTCATGTGACCACTTTTTAAGCCACATTTGTGGCCACTTGCTGTATCCCAGAGTCACCTGACTGGGATTTATGACATTTTTCCAGAAACGCCCCCACACGGGTTCAGTTATTGACTGGTGCAAAAAAAAATTGTGAAATTGGATGCTGGCCAGTGTCAATTGGTCATTGGGAGGGAGTTTGATGATTGTTCATGGGGAGTTTTTGGCATTTCAAGGACGCTTGAAATGGGGCAGAGAAAGATACTTCCGCATGTGTTTGGGGAGAAGAGGAGGTGAGAAAGTTGGACAAGACTGCATTTTTTTAAAAAAATGTAGACCCTCCTCACTTATCACAAACCAAGAGAGGTTACAGGAGTTCCGATTGTTGGCTGCAAGCAAACTCCATAGTTTAAACATGCCCTCATCCAATTGCAGATTTATCTGTCCTGCAGCGCTCAGTTCTTGAAATGAAAACCACATTTATGTCCATGGATGCTAAATAGGAGCCGTGGCTTTAGAGGACCATATTTCTCAAGACTGCGTGGCCATGGATCTGATGCCCGGCTTGAGGGAGCTGATTTGATAGCTTTGGTCACTTAAGGTTTTCTGGAGAGCCAAACTCAAACCTTGTTACATTAAATAGTTTTCACAATCACAGGGGCTGCGTGCCTAGCTAACTTTTTTCTCTTTTAAACCTTTGCTTTGGCAGTCTAGCCGTTCCTGCAGGATATTTGCTGGCCACCATCCTTGGCACCGTTTGCCTGGCCATAGCAAGTGGCATCTACTTATTGGTAAGCGGCGGGCAGACTAGCATAAACATGAGGGTTATAATTCTGATTCTCCTACTTAGCTTTCTCCTCCCCTCCTTTTGAAAGAGCCAAGAGCATTTTTTTTTTTAATAGAGGATTTTGGACAGAGAGAGATAGATAAAATATCTGTGAAGTCACCTGTAATAGACCCATCGTCCACTTGTAGAGAAAATTATTCTAAAAGACACCACTCCCCTAGTGCTCATTAATTAGCCACTTAAAATATAGTCAGTTGTTCATGAATTAAGTCAGTTTATTTATTTAATTTAGCCAAAATTTAAGGCAATCCTTTCAGGGGGCAAAGGGACTTTACCTGTGCCAGGTAGGGAAAAGCCTTTGACAGTCCTCTTGCACCCTCTGCTGGCTGCAACGGGTAGGACACTTTTTTGAAGGCAATATGGTTGCGAATGTGTTTTTGGTTTCACACAAGAAATGGGTATCTGTATCTTTGGGTCTTAAAGTGATATTTGTCAAATTAATATTTAGTTGGCTGCATTTCCAAACTACATTGAACCCAGTGAGTAAATCAGTGAACAAAGATTAAAATCCTAAGTTTAGCTGAGGAGTTCTGGGAGTTGAAGTCCACCAGTCTTAAAGTGGCCAGGGTTGGATGCCCCGGCTGTAGATATTTATCTCATTTGATTAATTGCACTGCATTTTCTTTTCAATTTCTTCCATGTACTTAATTTTACTTGAAACTCAGCCTTTCCTAATTTTCCTTCCTTTCCACAAGAAACTCCCTCTGGCTTTTATTCCTCAGGCTGCCATTCGTGGCGAAGAGTGGCGCCCCATTGAAGCGAAGCCTCAAGAGCAGCTCCAGGTGGGAGGTACCATCAAGCACCCCCCCAGCAACCCACCGCCCCGGCCTCCTGCAGAAGCCCGGAAGAAGCAAAGAGAGGGAGAACAAACTGGCCAAGACAATCCTATTGAAGTGGTTCCTTAGGAATCTCCCCCATCAGATAGACTGCAGTCGGAGGGGGAGGCTCCACTTCTGCTTGACCAAGGCATGGGAGACACCCTCCAGGATTGAACCTCGAGCCAGATCTTTCTCAAGCAGAAGGATGTGGCTGTATCTGAATTCCTGCAAGCCCCTGGGGGGCCTTCTCTGGTCTTTCTCTTATCTTTCCTTCCTTCCCCCCTGCTGTATGCTTCAGAGAGGCAGGGCTTGCATGCCAGTTATTGCCAATAACGGATGCTCATTTTAAGCCCAAAGGAAGGCAAAGTTGTAAATTAGCTTTAGATAGGTGTCTTTATACAGTTATAAACTTTTCTGAGGCTGGATTCAAATTTGAAAAGGTTTAAAGAAAAGGTTTAACATTTGAAATATTGAAATAAAAAGGGATCCCAAAGCTTCCTGGATCACATCAGACCTGGCCACACCAGCAAAGCTCTTGGCTTCATCTCTTTCCCCTTAGAAGGCAACAAGTTGCTCCTATTTGAGGCAAAAGACCCTTCCGTCTCCCCACCCTCTGCTCCTTCTCTCTTTCTCTTCCTTCCTCCCAATCCAACATATTTTGCCCCCATGTTGACTCACAAGAGAGCAGGACTTTTGCACCCACCCTTCTCAGGGGTCTTGCCGCCCCCCCCCCATGACTTCTGTCTCCTTTCCCCAAAGTTTTTGCCCGAAACTCTGCAGAAACTGCCCCCCCCTGCTTCCCCTTGGCTGCTGTTCCTATTCTGCCTTTAAGTCCTTCCTAGCTTCTTTTTCCCGATCTCATTTCAGCTCTGATCAAGTCTGGCTGGTCTCCTTTCCAAAGGGAGGCAAAGAGACCCTGTCTCTACAAATCATGTATACATCGTGTTTTAGTTAAATATTCCCAGAAGCATCATTTTTTTTAATTGAATGAATTAATCTTACCACTCCTTCCATGTTTATTGTATTTTATCTGGCCTTCCAATGCTTTATTCAATTCCTCATTTTAACGTATGAAGTCTAATCCCCTCCCCCCCATGCTTATTTTTAACTAGTTCAATAAATAAACATCAGTTTTGAGAACATTTTTTTGCTCAGTGTTTTAAATTTTATCTGTTTGCAATAAACTATATCTTGCTCAATCCAGCCAGATTGAAAATGGCTAAGAAATCCTCATTATCAACAGCTCCCAAATCTCAACCCCCTCCCCTCCAAGGTGCCTTGAGGAAGAGCCAAGAACGGCCTGCTTCTCTCTGAAATATCAGTAATGCGCCCGTGTTATGGATGAAGTCATCTGAGTCAGCTGTTTTCAGTACAGAAATAAAACCTTTATTAATGCAGGGGGTCCACCCCCCCTGAGGAACAATAAATATTGTATTGCATTACAATAAATACATATAAATAATCCAATAATTTAAATTACTTTACAATACCAGGGGAGAGCAAAGGTCTCATTAGAACAAGGAAATGAATGGGTGGGGAGCAAACCCAGATCAAGGTCAACCCTCCCCTCCCCACTGCCCCCCAGCCAGGTTTATCTCAGCATCTGGGAAGCTCAGCCGAGAGACCCACCTGGGGCAACACCAGGAGAGAAACCTGCTTCAGTCCAGTGTAGCAGCTGTGGGGGGATGGTTGGGCCAGCCCCGTCCCAGCTCTGCCCATCTTACCCGCTGTCGTGGGGGTAAAATGAAGGCAGAGCCTCACAGCAGCCCTGGGATACCTGTGCAACATCTCCCTTCGGTGAAGGAGCCCCAGAAGGCTCCCTCCACCCACCAGAAGGCAGATCAGGGCCAGCCCTGCTTTACGCAGTCTCAGCATATTGGGGTGCTGGGGTGGCCCAGGGACAGCTAAGAACGCTTCCCCCCCAAAGGGAGGGAAGGCTTCTTCTGAAAATTGGCCCCACTTCTTTGGGAGTAATAAATACAATAGCTTGAAGCACTAGAACATCTCAAAAATACATTAACATAAATACAAATAAATAAGCAGGAATTCCTTTTCATTTGTTGGAGAGCAAAAGACTTTTTAAGAAGCTTCTGGCTGGATCCCTCGAGGGTGGGGGTGAAGGCCAGGTTTGCCCCCCCCCCAGAGGAGGGGTGTCGCAGCCACCAGCTGCAAAGCACCAATACTTTAAAACAAACACGGATCCCGATGAAGTTGGAGGGACGAGGGAAGCAGACCGAGGCCCAGCCTGGGGTCTGCTCAGCTGCTGTAACGCGGGACGGCACAGGTGCAGGCCACAGGCACATCAATGTAATCCTTCTCGAAGTAGAACCTCTCCACGCTACCGCCGTTGTGCGGGCAGGCCTTGCGGCGAAAGACCATGGTTCTCTGGAAGACCTCCACCGAGTTGAGGGAGGTGGTCTCCCGGCCCGTCTTGGCATCGATGCAACCTTTGCAGCTGCACTTGGCAAAGGCCAGCTGGCGGGGGAACCGGTTCTCGTCTTCCTCGAGGCTGTGGAACAGAGGGAGAGGAAAGAGGGTTAGACACCGCCACGTGTCTCCAGGGAATTCTGGGAACTGGTTGCTGAGAAGTCTCCTGGGAACTGCTGGGGAAGGAAGGCTAATCACAAAGCTTTTGGGACACGCAAGAGCACATCTGTCTGGTGGGAAGACCCATGTGCTCACTGGGGAAACGGAGGACTCGTTTGCCCCAAAACATCCCAGAAGGATGCCATGCTTCTCTGTCTCCATCCTGAAGCAAGGGGTCCCCAAGAGCAGGGCTTTTCAACCTTTTCACCCATTGTACCACTTTTAGGATATGGCAATATCCGAGTACCACCCGTCACCTAGCAAGGGGTCAAAAACTTGATGACCAAAAAAAAAGGGAAAAAAGTGATAAAGTACAGGTAGTCCTCGATTTACAACAGTTCGCTTAGTGACTGAAGTTACAATGGCACTGGAAAAAGTGCCTCCAAGCCACAACTGAGCAAGACACACCTGCCTGCCCACCTGGCGGTGCTCTTCCTCCTGTCCAAGGTTTTCATTGTTGTGAGCATTTCTGTTGAGGATTGGCAGTGGGGGTGGGGTGGGGGTGTTTGGTTTTTATTCCCCCCGTCTGCTGGGTGGTTGCAGCAGGTTTTGGTCACTTCACATGACCCTGGGACACTGTGACTGTCATAAATATGAATCAGTTGCCAAGCATCTGAACGTAAATCACAAGACCCTGGAGATGCTGCAACATTCCAGCTGATCGGTACTTCTTCTGGGCTCAGCAGAAGTGCCAGGATCAGCGCCGAGCTCCAGCTGGAACCTGGCGCTGATCCTGGCACTTCCACTGAGCCCTGACAGCCCCGAAGAAGTGCTGATCCTGGTGCTTCTGCTGAGCCCTGACAGCCCTGCAGCTCCAGCCGTCTCTCACTCAGGCTTGTGCGGTGCTGACATCAGTTCAGCTCATTCCCCTCCCCCACTGCCACTTTTCTAGGATAGTCGCATACCACCTGCCAGGTGCCAATGTACCACAGGTGGTACCCGTACCACTGGTTGAAAAGCCCTGCCCAAGAGTGCCAAGCCATCACGGGGGTTGTTTGGTTGACCTCTGGAAATGGGGTGAATCCAGTGATTCTTAGCAAACCATAGCTTGTCAAGGTCTTCAGATCCAGGTACACCTGGAGGGAATCCCAGCCAGGAAAGGGGAAAGGTGTGGGGAGACTTGGGAGCAGATTGAGGGCAATCCCAGTTTGGCCCCTGCATTTCAAACCTCCCCAGGCCGCCTCCAACTCTTGAAGCAAGGTCCTTACTGGTATGTCCAGGGCGAGATGGACCTCTTCTGCACTTCACCACTCTGCATATCCTGGAGCTTCAGGTTCGGGCAGCCATGGCTGTGATGCCTCCGTGGGTGCGGGCGGCTGTTCTGTTCGTTCTCCAGGAACGGGACCAGCTGCACACAGTCTTGGTGTTGCAACAAGGAGACCCAGTTCCGAAAATGAACCGGCATCGGCTCGTTGCCCAGCTCCTCTGCGGTGAAGCACCCCAGGTGCTTGGCATCTGCCCAGGCGAGGCACAGAAGGGCAACCAGGAGGGACCACTGGGGGAAGTAAAAGAGGGCAAGCTGAAGAAGGCTTGGAGCGGGTTCCACTTTTCGCCCGCCTTCTTTCCCCCACTAAAGTGTCAGGATTAGTGAGATGTTATTTCAAGTTTATCTGTCTATGGAGAATCTCAATCATCCAGTTTCATGGTTGTCCCAAAGATACATTCCCCTCCCCCCAAATAACTAGCCTCTCTTGTTTTTTCAAAGAAGCTTCTTCAGTTTGCAAGGAAAAAGCGCCTTTCGAACTATCAAGTTTACAACAAAAAGGAGCATTTACCTCTGAGGGGACCTACTGTTGCTTAATTGATCCCCATTTCCGGAGCTTTGTAACCAGGAATTAAACCACAAAGCTTCTCTCTCCAATGGGAGGTTTACAACTGCACAAAGCCAATTAATTTAAAACATCTTTCCTTATCCATATTTGAACAGAGTGCATTCCAAGGAGGCTTTGCCCTTCGCACTTTCTAGAGAATAACTCTGTCGCTTCCTTTTATGCAAGCAACCATAAAATTGTCCGGAGAAAAGAAGCCAGGATATTTTTACGACCAAGAGCGTCATCTGAGTTTCAGAGACGGTTGGCCATGTCAGAAGCTCTGTCTTTTTAAGGGCCGCTCCCCGAAAGCGAGGGATGAAGGAGAATAAGACTCTTCCTTGGAGACTCCGCCTTGCATTTCCGCTCCCCTCTGCACCCGGAGCCTTCTTTGCCTTAGCTACCTCCGGAGCTGAGCATGTGCAGAGGGCTTGAAGCACCTCTGAGCACATGCCCTGTCACCGGCAGGTGGGCAGACCCAGAGGCCATCAGCTCCTTGCTGACTTTGCTGGCCAATTGCCCAGAGTCCCTGGCCAGGTGTTCGACTGGCCCCGAGGCATTTCCTTCCCACACCTGGTGGTGGCAGAGGCCTCCTTCTTACCATCTTGACTGAACCGGCGGGAAAGAGGCAGAGGCAGAGAAGGATGCTCCGGAGTCCCTTTTCCGTTCTCAGCTGCCGCTCCGAGGCAAGAAGCTGTTGCAGGACCAGTGATCTGAGACACCTTGACACCTGCCGCCGGTTATATACCCAGGGATGTTACACACCTGGAAACTCCAACTTCTTCTCCCTCCTCCCCTTGGGGAAATAGTTGAGTCTACTCATTTCCTCCTTGGCTGCCCAACAGGGGCGTGCAATCACTCCTATCTTTTCCCTGTGAGCTTCTCGCCTTCAGCCTGGATGGCTGATATGGATTCTGAGCCCCTGCAGGCAGCCATTTGTGGGGGGTCCTGGGCTAGGATGATGGGAACTAGAGGGCAGCCATACTTGAACAGGCAGCTATTTTGCACTTCTGCCTAGCATTTGGGAGGTGGAACAGGCAAGGATTGGAGCTAACCAGGTTTAGTGGCTTACACAAATCATCTATTGCTTTTCTACTCTTCCAATACTTTATAAAGAAAAAGCACGTGTTCTTATTTCTCTAGTTCAGGGGTGTCCAACCCTGGCAATTGTGAGCTTCCAGAAGTCCACAAGTCTTAAAGTTGCCAAGGCTGCACACCCCTGCTCTAGTTCCTTATAGACAACAAATTAACTTGCTATTTTAGTTTCTATTTAATCTTGACTTATCCTGGACATAACAGGGATGTTTCTGTTTTGAGTTGCCCTGGACTTCTTTTGGGATGCTGACAACTTCCTCAGACGGAGTGGAAGCGCACAAAGCTTGCGATGGGCTACAAAGGCAGCTCACAATGGAAGGAAGTTTAGTGACTCTGTTGTCCCCCCCCCCCCAAGATTTTTGTGAAACTCCGAAGCCTCCATATTTTGGAACTAAGAGATGTATTGGATTCGACAAATGTGCTTGTATGTGTGTGTGCAGATAGAAAGAGACCTCCCCTTTCCTTTAAACACTGGGACAAAATCTCTTGAAAGGAATTTATTGTTTCTTTTTCTCATCCTTCTGAGTCTTCATGTTTTCTTCCAGGGGTTTAAATGAAAGGAAAAACAAGAAGCTTTCAGATGTGAGGAAGAGAGAAAAAAGGCAAACTAGAAAGTGTTTAAATCAAAACTTTAAATCCAGACTCCTGAACATTGGACAAATGCAAACCCTTCTTTGAGAGTGTCCAAATCCAGAAACTATTAATGTGAGGTCACACAATATGGCTTGTTTGCATGACACAATTTTTTCCCTTCCCAATTAAATTATAGCCCACCCTACCCAACTGGCCCATTTGGGGCTGGGGTGGTGGTGGAGGCCAGCACTACTTAAGTTCTTTAGAGAAACTCAAGCCAGACATGCTCAAAAAAAAAGGGGGGGAATAATAATGATTCTCTCTTTTATATGACCCAACCTTCAATGGGAAGGTGAAGATGAAGAAAATTAAAAGTCTCTGCCTGCTCACAAGCAAGTGCTAAACTGAATTGAAATAAATGAACAGCTTTTAACTCTGCAGCAAAACCATCCTGTGATTGTTGTTTTCACATGTATTGGTTTTCAGGATCGTGATAAATTTAGTCAAACCTAAGAACTCAGGTCAAGGTATTGGAAATAAATCTCATTTAGAAATCAAGATTTAAAGTTACAATATGAAACAAACATACCAGGAAAAAAAAATCTCCCCTGGAGTGTGAATAAATTGGTGGTTGCAAAGCTGTGAGCAGATTTCCAGGATCATGGGGTCATTTGGTATAAATAAGGCTGTGTGACCAGGGATAATCTACATGGCAAAAAAGGAAGCTGAATGGAAAAGCCCCAGCTGTTTAGTGAGAGAGGCTTGTTGGAAAAAAGAAAGGAAGCAGGAAAAAGGACCCAATTGGGAACAAGGGAGAAGCAGGAAACATCCTGGTTTTCTTTCTGTAAATTTCCCTGTAAAGGTATTTGTTTTGTAGTTTATTGTGTGTTATAAGATTAATGCTTCCGCCCCCCCCCCCCCAAAAGCAACAAGTCAAGGGTAAATTAATGTACTGTGTTTGTTGGATTTGTGTTACTTGTTAGTTTGTTAATTCCCACACCAGTGGGAGCCTCTCTCCAGATTTCTGTAAAAGAGTTCCTGTGGTGCTTTCCCTTGATTTGGTCTAGTGGCTGTGTGGAGGCATTGACTCTGGGTCAAGCAGAAGAAACGGAGTTTCCTGACTGGGGCCTTGAAAAGAAGGGATCAAGAGGAAACCCCTCCTGCGTTGCCCTCCAAACTGGTCCTGGCCAAAATGGTTCCATTTCCCCCCCTCATGCATAAGTGAGCTTGTTAGGCAAACAACTGCAAAGACTTGGGAGCAAAATCCATCCAGTGCTTGCTGACCCTCCATTCCTTTGCTTGGGAAGTGGTGAGCAAGCTCAGCTTGATCCAGAAGGGAAGAATTTGAATAAATGCACTAAAGTGGGCTTCCTGTTTCAAGGAGGTTTTGTAGGCTGAGGGTGAAAAAGGTTGAACTGGGAAGTTCTCAAGTCTGCTGAGTGGTGGCCAAGCTGACACATTATGAATAGAATAGAATAGAAAATTAGAACAGAATAGAATAGAATAGAATATGAAAAGGATAGGATAGGATAGGATAGGATAGGATATGGAAAGAGTAGAATATGGAATAGAATAGAATAGAATATGAAAAGGATAGGATAGGATACAATAGAATAGAATAGAATAGAATAGAATAGAATAGGAGCTGGAAGGGACCTTGGAGGTCTTTTAGCCCAGCTCAAGCAGGAGAACCTAGACCATCTCAGACAAGAATATGGCTGATATCCAAAGCTGGCTAAGGAAGGCTGGGACAGAAGAATCCCTCAACGCCTCACAGGGGTGTTTTCACTCTGACCCAACATGAGGATTCCCGGCTTGGAAATGATGTGTGAACGTGGCCATTCTGGTTTGGTAAAGTGAGGGATCTTAGAACCAGAAAGGAGCCCAATCCTTGGCCGGAGCAGGGATCCTAGGGAGATGGCTTGACATCTGCCAGGAATTCTTCTGAATTCATTCAGATCCCTCTTGGCTGAAGCCTCCCCTCTGCATATGGAAATGGGCTCCCCCCCCCAGCCAATGGGGAGAAAGAGGAATATTTTTTTTCCACAACAGAGGAGGAGAACGAAGGAGAAGGAGAAGAAACCATCATTTAGCACCTGAAGGCAGCACAAGAAGCAATAGGTGGAAACTAACCAAAGAGAGAAGCAACCTAGAACTAAAGAGAAATTTCCTGACGGTGAGAACAAGCAGTGGAACAATTCTTTGCCTTCAGAAGTTGTGGATGCTCCATCACAGGAGGTTTTTAAGAAGAGACGGGACAGCCACCTGTCTGAAATGGTAGAGGGTCTCCCGCTTGAGCAGGGGGTTGGACTAGAAGACCTCCACGGTCCCTTTCATCTCTGTTATTCTGTTAGTACAGCCATCTGTGAACAGAGTCAGGAGCTGCAAACTCCTGTAAGGGGTCCCTTGCCTGTGAGTGTCAGTGCCTGGAGAAGTCACAAGGGCCTCCTGTAAATCTTTAAATGCAAATGTACAGATTTTCAGCATCCTCTGCCAGGGGCCGTGCCGGGTCTAGGACCAGCTCATTCCACTGTGGAAAAGAGCCTCTTCCTGCCAATCCCATTTCTGCCCACTCTGTACTCTCCTTGATTTCAGGAGAGCCACCGGCCGGTGGAGGGCTGCAGGGGGGGCAGCGCCTCATGTCCTCTCCCTCTGGCCAGTCGGGCCTGGCAGGATGGCCTCCTCTGCCGAGGACCCTGCCAGCATCGTTCTTTCTCTTCCTGGTCCTGATGTTGGCAGCTAGAGGAGGTTTCTACCCAGGGCGGAGTGGCAGATGCCGAAGGGGTTAACTGGGTTGCAAGGATGTCGAAATTGGGTGAAAAGGCAACTGGAGTCAGAGCAGGTTCTGGTCTCTTTTACTGGGTCATGGGACCTCTGCAAACCGGCTTCGCACGTTCCCTTTGTCGCCCTCTCTCTGCTGTCGTTATCCTCTGTATTTGTGTGTGTCATTGCCTCCCAAGCATATGACTCGCTGCTACCTGCCCACTGCAGGGAAAACCCCTCCACGTGGCTTGGATGGCGTCAGGCTGCGCCGTGAACGGGGCCGGAGGGAACAGGAAGAGAAGTTGCCAAAGGACCCACCGGGGCCAACCTCCTGTCTTCATGGGCATGGGGGGGGGAGACAAGAGAGGCTGAGGTGCCAGGCCAGCAGGTCTCTATCTTGCATTGGGAGCATCTTCTTCCCAGGTGACCTTGTCCTAGCTCCCTTGGTCCTCACCCAAACTGGCTGGGAATTAGGGGAACTGGAGTCCAAGGCCTGTCAGGGACACCAAGTTGGAGAAAGGTCAGCCTGCTTGGCTTCTTCTCCTGTGCTGGAGATTCTCCTGGGGGTGCTCTGCATTCTTCCTGGGGATCCCCCCCCAGGCACATCTGGCTCTGTAGACCCTTGTCTGAGAAAGCTGGGAAATCTCCAGGAATTGCTGCAGAATTCCTGGATGGGACGGATGCAAAGTGCCTCCAGCAGCCCCTGGTGGACGACCTGGAGGGGATCCAAACCCCGCTTGTATTCCAGGCTCTGCTGATTTTAACCAGAAGGCGTCTCGCAGCAGCTTTACCAACTCAAGCATTGGAGGAGTAAAAGCTTCTGCCTTTTAATCAATTTTTTAATAGGAAAGGCTGCTCTCCGACTCCAGATTTTTGGCTACCAATGTACTAACACGGTTCATCACCAGATCTTCCTTCCTTCTTTTTCTTCCTTTTTCCTTCCTTTCTTCTTTCTCTCCCTCCCTTTCATGTTCAAGGCAGTGAACATATCCAAAACACTTTCCTCCTGTTATTGACCCTACAATAACTTTGTGATGTGAGTTGGGCTGAGAAGAGGAAAGCAACTAATAATTAAATTTGTGGGTGACTGATAAACTATGAAAAAATTAATAATGAGGTGATTCTGCTGAGTATTTGTCAGATTAGCCCATAATTTCCTAAACACAGCAGAGACTCCGGCCTTCGGTGAGTGCAGGGGCTTCAGAATACTTTCCAGCAAGATTCTTCTGATCATCTTTGACCTGCATTTGCTCAGAAGAC